GGGAGGCAGCCATGTGGTTTGAGCCATTGAAGATCAAGAGCTGCATCTGTCTTGTTCCCTACTGAGGAGGCCAACAGAGTCCAAATCCCACTTCTGTTGACTAGTAAGCAAGGAAAAAATAAAACAGATCCCTCATAAGTCTGTTGCTACTCATGGCCCCAGAAAAACATGATCTCTGTGCTGTGAGCATGGAGGACTGTGGGAGCAGTGTGTACCATGTGCAAAATAGAAAGAGATACCCCTCTTAGTGGATGGATTTTAAGATTTCTCTAGGCTGATGTAGCCCTGGGTCCTTAAGAAGGGTCATCTATAACATCACAACAGACTCCCATGATTCTCCTAGCCTCCACTCCCCTCTCCCTGGCTCAGCCTGGCCACTGTTGCTGTATAGCCATGCTCAGTCTGCTTGGCTGTATACCCAACTATTTGTGACATCTGATAGGCTTCAGCCACATATGGGGGTATTTGTAGAGGCAGAGAGTAAACTCCAGGTAAGGTCAGGCCAGCAAAGGTGTGTAGCAAGAACTGTAGTTCTAAGGGGCCTAGGGTGTGAGAGGAGGATGGAGTCTGCATGGGAGGGGATTCTGGAGGAGAGGGTTTTATTTGGAAGCCAAAGGAGGTTTCAACTGAGCAACAGTGGCCAGGGTGAGCCAGGGAGAGCCAGTGGAGGCTAGGAGAGTTGCAGGAGTCTGTTGTGATATTATGGATGAAAATAGCTGAGACTCTGGGGTGATTGAGGCCTGTCCGTGGTGGGGTGCAGCAAGGCTGCCAGTCTAGACTGGTGTGGCAGCCATATGGCTGTAGGTGTCCTGAGGAGATGCACCTTGCACAGCTTGGCTTGGCTCAGCCCCATCAGTATACCCCACCCCCACCCCAGGCTCCAGTAGGGTGGAGGACTAGTGTGAGGTCTGGGGCCATCCAGTGGGGCCAGAAAGACACCTATGACCCCAATAAATACTGGGATTTCAGGCACAATGATTGGGGATATGCCTCATTTTTAAAAAGACAGAATTTGAACATGGCATATCAAAATGTGTGGGACTGTTCTGACCTCAGCGACTTAATCCTCTCCAGCCTATGATAAGACACAGGGGCCTTCCTAGTGAGAGCACACCAACACCAGGGGGCAGCAGAACCCAGCCACTCTGCTCTGGCTGTTTTCCTTTCTCTTGTGATTATAAAGACTCCTAGGATGACCTTCAGAAGGCCACATTTGGCTCAACTACAGTCCCAGATGGGATCCAGGCTGTTCTAAACACACAGCAAGCAGGATAAGTGTGCATGAAGCTCTGACTTGTTTGCAAAAAGAGGGAAAAGTTACAGGCTTATCAGTGGGCATAGACAAGGGAGAAGTCCTTGGACAGGAGACAGTTTAAAGCAAGGACATGTGCAGAGTGCCAGAGCATTGCCTGGCACACAGGATAGAACTCATTAAATGTTAGCTGAAGTTATAACAACTTGAACCAGGTCTTCCTTAAAAGAGGTATAGGATTCTGACATGCAGAGAGGGAATAGGGAAGAAAGAGGCATTCCAGGCAGAGGGAGGGATCTGAGAGAGGGAAGATTGGCAATAGGAATGAACAAGATCTAAAGACAAACTGTGTGACCAGTGAGTCACCAGGGCTGGACTCTCCAAGTCCTAGAGTACCAGGCCAGACAGTGTGGATCTTCCTTATTCTGTGCAGTGACTGTGCTAAGGGCGTATGACCCAAACTGGGCATGTGAATGACCAAGGTGATACTCTTCCTGAATCCATGAGGCACATGCATCCTCTGGTGGCACAGATTCTACTCAGCTACTCTCTTTGGCCTTCTCTACTTGCCCTGTGAGCTTCTTGAGTGCAGGGCCAGGACATCTCTGCTTTATACCCCCAACCTAGGGTCAAAACACAGTTTGTGTCATTGTTTATTGCATATGAATGATGTAAAGAATTCTCTGAGATTATTTTGATAATGATGTGTTTTACAAGCTGTGTGAAGGTCTCTATACTCAGGTGGCCACACAGCAAGGACAGTCAGAGATGGGGAAAGAAAGGTAGTCAGAGCTAAGATAGAGAGAGCAGCAAGATGGGATGTGAGCCAATCAGTGGACAGGAAGGTGGCCAGAGGCTGGGCAGTGAGGTCGAGAAGCCAATGAGAAGAAGGCAATTACCAATATGAAGAAGGGGAACTCACATGGGACCCATCCCGACCTGCAGTGACTCCTTTGTAAGGGGCAGTGCTTTTGACCCTCTATTATGCCCCTATTATGCCCCTTCACCGTGAATCCATTAGCAAACAGCAGACATTGGGTGCACTTCTACTAGGGCCAAGGCTTTATACTCAGGTGGGGATGATGTCAATGTGGTAGAGGCAGTGGGGGAGAGCTGGGTCCCTTCATTGAAGAACTCTTAGTGCTGAGAACCTTGAACAGAAGGGGGTGTTACAGAAGAGCTTACTGAAAGAATGAACAAGTGAACCCATAGCTGCAGGTTAGGTGGTTTGTAGAAGATAGTCTTCTTTGAGGGTGATGACATTCCTGTTGTTACCTTAGAACACCAAGTCTCACAATGGCTGGGAGCTGGGAGCTCTGGCCAGTCAGAGCTGAGTGAAGGTCTCAGTAAAGGTTTTCAGCTCACTAAATGGTCTGGTGTGATGGCCTGATTCTCTACCTTGGCCTGGCCAGAACCCCTATGAACCACCCATTGGTGGGGAAAGGGAGCTTTGTGGGTCAGGTGTTACTTTGGGGCTGTCCTTCTGGATGCTCAGGTCCCCAATCATCACCCATCTGCGTTAGAAGTCCTGGTAAGTGTGGTCATTCCCAGATTTGACTTCTTTGTGTGACTCCTGATTCATGTGAGGTTTTGGATCTGTGAAAGGCAGAAGTGGGAAGAGGGAGAGTGGGCTCTGACAAGCTCTGAACCAAGCTGAGCTGTCTATCGTAAGGCCTAACCTATGATCTCAGAGTCTGAAGGATTTCACATCCAGGGGAGTCCTACTTGTTCTTTCCTGCTCACCTGCTCTTCCGGAAATATCCTTCCTCTCCCAACATCTGCTCCAGGCATTTAGCCGGTGGTATCTGCAGAGTTAGAGGTGACTGGCTTCCGATTTGCCATCTGCCCACTCAGGCCTGCATTCTGAGATAGCTATCTCCTGGGGTTTTAGAGCAGAAAGCCAGATCAGGATGGTGCCAGTGAGGGAACAATTAGCATCTCAGTTTTCAGACCCTGGGATAAGCAAATCTAGGCTGGCACTTGTGGGGGCCAGGAACAGGCCCAGTGATTGATGGCTACTGGAGAGCTGAGAGAGAGGACAGGCAGACCCAGGTTGAATGGGCAGCTCTGGGACAGAGCCTACTAACCAACAATGGGCACCTTGCCCTACTCTCAGCACACCCCAGCCTGGCCCACGAGCCTAGGAGGTGGATCCCAAGGGACCGGGCAGAGCTTGGCCCTGATACAGAGCCCTGCTTTTCCCTCCAATGTGTGGTTTGTTGTTGGGGCTAAGACTCCCCAATAATACTCCTCACCACTAAGCCCAGCCCCAACTTTGGCTGTAGATCTTTCTGGACACTGACTGCAGGTTCTGCCCAGTAGACAGAAGGGCTGCTAAGAGGACAGTGAGGTCAACCAGAGCTTGGACAGCAAAGCCAGCTAGAGGCCACACAGCAAGGACAGTCAGAGATAGGGAAAGAAAGGTAGTCAGAGCTAAGATAGAGAGAGCAAGCCAATCAGTGGACAGGAAGGTGGCCAGAGGCTGGGCAGTGAGGTCGAGAAGCCCATGAGAGGAAGGCAATTACCAATATGAAGAAGGGGAACTCACATGGGACCCATCCCGACCTGCAGTGACTCCTTTGTAAGGGACAGTGCTTTTGACCCTCTATTATGCCCCCTACAACAAGGCTGCATGAAGCCACCCAGACCCCAGGACTGTGCTTAATGGCTGGAGAACTTTAGTGTTAACAGTGACAGTAAATTCAGAAGATTCAGAAGACAGGTTAAATGTAGTCTCTGGGGGACACCTTCAACTCATCCACCCTCAAGCCCCAGCCTGACTGCAGGCTCTTCCCCCCTGAAAATGGGCTGGGGACAGATTTGGGTGCATGTGTCCCTAATCATGTTGCTGCAGGTCAGACAGCAGAACTTGTGACAGTTCCCTTTCCATCTGGCCTGATGTAGTCTTTCCTCTCCTCCTCTGCTTCCTGCTTCTCTCCCACCATGGCAACTCCAGGAACTCTCACAGGGAAATGCCTGGCCTCTTGGCTTCATGGACATACTGTGTGACACTAACTAACAGTTAAGGGGACCTTCAGTGGACAGTCATCAGAGATGCTTGTTTTCTTTGCCTGAGAGGCTGGCCTGCAGGAGATCTATAGAACATGCACCAACCCTCATTGGTTCAGAATCATTCCTAAGTGGTTTTGTCCTAGATCTCCTCTCAGGCTAGAGAGGTGTGTTTCAGGTCCTGCTGCGTGGTTGTCCATTAATGTGAGTCTGAAAAGCTATGCTTTTGGCCTCTGAAAGTCTGAGTAAGATTGATGTCTGACCTTGTTGTGGTGCCTCTGTTGAAGATGGAATCCAAATCCTGAGTGTGCCCCAACCTAGTGATGGGCATTCTGAGTCACCACAGACCCCACTTGTGGGCACTTGTGGCAACAGCACTGTGGGTGGCAGGCAAGGACACCAGCAGCCTCCATTCTTATGGCCTTTCAGGATGCTGCAACATCTTCTTTACATTCATGTTTTCTCTCTGATTTCTCTCTCCATATTTCCATCAAGAGCATGAGGTTTGGGCCTCCCCTGGTGAGTGCTGGGCTGAGAAGCCGCCCGCAGCCTCTGCAGCGCCGGTTCGCCCCTGGTGAGGGTCCCACATGGCGAGGCAGACCTCTCCTGCCGCCCGCTGCTCCCCTCAGGAGTGTACTTCGGTCCTTCTGCCTGTTCTGCTTCCCGCTCTGGCTCTGGTGAATTCTCTCACCCTCCCGCGCTTCTGACTGTACCCAGTGCTTCTATAAATAAGTAAATAAATCTTAAAAAAAAAAAAAAAAAAGAGCATGAGGTTTACCAAAGTTCCTAATACCTCAGACCCAGCCATTTTGAAAAGAGCACAACCAACAGTCTTAAAATGGGCCTATCCCATTTCTCGATGTCTTCTCTGACCTGACTTAGTGCTTTCCTCAGGGGCACAGAGGCCTCAGACTTCTCTGAAAAGATGGCAGTTTAGTGAGAGTCCCAGCCATGGGTGCACTCGGTGTGTCGGAGTGAGCAACATCCAGGCCAGCCAGGGCCTCGTTTTGCTTCAGTCTGAAAGAGATTTTTGTTTTTCAGTGAGAACAGCCCCAGCCTGGCCTGGCGCTGGAGCCAGAGGCAGGAGTACAAACCCTTTCATGTGACAGACCCTGAGTGGAGTGATGTAGGCCTGCCAGCAGCAGGCCCTCCCTGCTGCTTCTCAGGAGGCGATCATTTGCATATTCCCCATTCATCCTGGCCTTGAAAAGGAGGCCCTAGTTCTTAGTGCTCCCTGCCCAGAATTGGGCTGGACTGTGGGGCCTGGCCTTAACCCTGTAGACACCTGGCCTCCAGAGGGATGATTCAGGAAGTGGCAGGGTCCTGTTGAGTGGCATAGCTTTCCTTTGAACTGAGTGAAATTCAATTTTGTCTCTTCCTGCAGCATTCAGAGGAGCTACTTTGTCAAAGTATGGGGAAGCCAGAAAATTAATTGTTTATAAAATTTGCCAGAAAACTGACCTTAAACCCAGGCAAACTCTCTTTTTTCCCCATCAAATCTTATTAGTGTGCTGGGTGTTTACATAACCATGTGACTTGGGGAGTGCAACTTCACCCCTCCAATGGTGCACAATGAGCTGAAAGAGTGGACAGAGGAGCCATTTGACCCCTGCTTGCAGCAGCAGGCCATGGGGGGCAGGCAGTCTGGGGGCCCAACTTGCATCCTGAAATCCCAGGGTGCCAGGTCAGGTGAGCTGGTGGGCCCCATTAGCTTGTACCTGTGTCTTGGAAGGCATGGGGCATAGTACAGTACCAACTATAATCTTCCTTTTACAGCTAAACGCTATCCTCCCAGCCTCAGCTGCCAGCCTTAGTCCTCAGTACAACCAGGCCCCTGCAGTACAAACAGGCCCATTCCTACCTCCTTCCTAGGAGCTCTGACAGCTTACAAGATCTTCCTGTGACTCACCAACCCTAGAACACCCTGCCCCTGATCCTTCCCACCCTTCTCCATCCTCTCCTCACTCCCCCTCCCTGACAGAGGAGGTGTCTCAGGTTCTGTGTTCAGTACATTTCTCCCTGAGTAGGGTGTCCCCAGCTGCTCCTGAGAGAATTCCTCTCTTGCTCCCTCCACCTCACTGACCCCAACCATGTCTTAGTAGTCCTCTCCCTACTTAAGGAACTTCCCCTGAGCTAAAGGAGATCACATCCTGTACCACCTATACACTGACTGCCCACTGGGCTCTGAGAGCTTGGCCCTGCCAGGAGCATCCCATGATCTCTTTACTGAGCTTAAAGCTTAGAGTTTGCAGGGTGTCCTCAGTTTGGGCCAGTGATGGAAATGGATCACTGCTCCCGAGGCCAGGACACTGGCAGTCCTAATGTGGACTGGCTGGGAAGGGTAAGGATCAAGTTGCAGTCCCAAGATTTGGCTTCCTTCACAGTAGGGCCTGGCCAGGGGGTTCCCTCTGCTTATGTGGTGTACATGGTCCTCCCCAGGTTCTCTAGGGTTCTGCCTGCTGTCCCAGCACTTGGTGTGGAAGGAAGGCCAAGGATCATTCACAGTATCGGTCCTGGTCATCATACCCTATAATTATTTCCAAAGGGTCCACTGCCATTGTCTTAGCCTCTGCTGGGCCTCTTTGCTCTGGGAGTTTTGTCTGACCTGATTTGTGGTCAGGGTAACATTTATCTCAGTTTGTGAAAAACACTGTGTTTCTGTTTCCTTGCCTGTTCTCAAGGCTATTTGTAATTTTTAAGTTCCCGAAAGTGTTGTTTGAGCCTGGCTTCCCTGTGCTATCATGAGGAATGCGAGCCCATGTACTCTGGCCAGGGATTAGGGAGAGTGAGATTCTTGGGAGGTGCTGGCATGAGGTTGGGGGCAGAGGGGCAGTGGAGGCCACTTCCTGGGCCGAGTGGGCGGCCTAGGGGAAAGATGTTCCCAGCAAGGTCAAGCTAGCTGGGACAAGTCGCCCTGCGAAGTGATCAGGCACAGCCAACCTTAGTTGGGCTTTTCCACATTCAAGAGGCTTAACTGAACCTTCAGAGCGACAATCAGCCTCCTCAGGAGACTTAGCGGTGAGCCACTGGGTAACCAAGCAACCCCGCATCATGGGCCTGTCTCTCAGGGGGGATATATAGTGGTTCTCACCTGGCAATTCCCGAGTTGGGAAGGCCTTGGGCCTTGTCTCTGCCCCAATCGTCCATGGCTCTTTGGCTCTAATTAAAACCCAAGAGGACAATTGAGAGAAAGGTCCTCTCTCACAGCAGAGACAAGTGTGAACCCCTGTGTGGGCGGCAGGGTGGAGGGGGGTCAGGGGTGCCGGCCATGTGTTGGCTGCTGTGCTTCTGTCAGGGTCACACAGTGAGATCTGTGGTTTCCTTAACCTGGTGCCTGGGCCACATACTTCCTGGGGCAGAACTGCTGCCACGTCTCCATGCCCTGGCACCCTGGCATCACCAGCCAGGATCTTGGTTGTGACTGCTACATTTCCTAACCTAGAAGTTTCCCTGTGCAGCACGGAAGGAAATTTTCATCTATGAAAAGACATCTCTGAAGCTGTCTGGAGAAAAGGAAGGGTCCCACCGAAAAGGGTGAGAAAGGGCTTTGTGACTGAAGGTGGGTCCACATGTATTTGTGCATTATAAAGCTTTCTTCCAGTGGATTGGCCCTGTCTGCCAAGATCCAGGTAAGGACTGCCAAGCTCTCTCTCTGCCAAGTTCTGGAAGTTTTCCTCATGGTCTTCCCCAGATGGTGGGGTGAGCAATGGAAGCCATATTAGCCCCAGGGAAGATGTTGCAAGGCCTATGGGCTCTGGAGTTGCTAGGCAGGTTGTGCAAACAGCTCTTCAGAGGGAGCTCAGAGCGGTGGTGTGTCCTGTGGCCTATACTCTCCTTTTACTCTGTAGCCGTGGCTACTGTGTGCATACTGTGTGCCCAGCTACATGCTGGCCACAGAAGTAGGAGTGAAAAAAGGGCGGACCTGATCCATACCCTCTAGCTCACCTCATAGAGACAGACCTCACGGGACCCCCAGCCCTGGGAGTTCCCGGGACCTCAGTGTCCCAGGCTGTCTGCCAGAGGTACTGAGGGAGTTCAGAGCTCAGCTTTGGTTCCAACATCCCAGGGTGTGGATTCTGGCTCCAGGATGGCATCCCTAGGCAAGCCAGCAAAGTGTCATCTCGAGGTGGGCATGAAGGAGGGGCTGGTAGGTTGCCCTGGTCTTGTGGAGGAGGTTAGCCAATATCTACCACCTGCTGACCCTGATCCTTGGTCTGGAGTGTTCCCACTGCCCGGAGCATCTCAGAGCAGATGTTTTTCTCGGGCTATGCCTGTTCCCTTCGTCTCCCAGGTAGGTTGGCTGTGACCTTGTGGAAAATGGGAAGAAAGGGGGTTCCCCGGGAGGGACTGGAAGCAGAGTTTCCTGGAATGGTGCCCTCAGCCCCCAAGATCAGGCAGCCCCACTCCCCCATTCCATTCATGCTGGCTACAAATCCCAGCCCCTGGCCCCTAATCAGTGTCACAGATGGACTTGTAAAGAGGCTTTGTCCTTAACCCATTTGGCAAACTCCTTCCTAGCACTGAAGACAGGGTGGGGGCTGGGGAGAGAAGCAGGGAGTATGAACTGAGTCTCTGCTCAGGCAACCTGGCAGAGTGTGGGTTAAGGCTGGGTTGCTTGGCTCTGAGCTAGTCTGAGCCAGCACCACCCCACGTGCACAGGGAGGGGTGGCCAGCGGCGCCTTGAGGGGCCAGCAGCTCCTCACAGAGCTGTTCTGCACCCAGGTCCCTGCCAGACCCACAGCTCCATAGCTGCTGAGAGAGTCTCGGCCACCATTGCTAATACAGCCGCCACCACTCAGCTTCTCAGAGGAGGCGCCGTTGCCATCTTCTGTCCCCAGGAGGGCAGACTTGGGGCAGGGCCTTCTCCGCTTTTGTGCTTTGATCAAGATGTGGTAAGCTCTCTCCCTGAGCCCCACACATATAAAGGGAGGTTGGTACTAGTGGGAGCAGCTCAGCCACCTCCCCAGTGCCAGAAGCCCGCTGGAAAGGTAGGGTGTGAATGCATGTACTTTTGCAAGTTGTCTTTGAGCCCTTTTGACTGGCAAACAGATGGAGTAAATGCTTCCACTAACTCCTATCTGCTGAGTGCTTCTCTTCCTGTGAGCCTGGCTCTGCACTCTCTGTCTGTGAGCTTGTTTGAGATGAGACCGAGAGGGGTGAAGGGTCCTGTCCAAGGTCATACAACTGTCAAGAGTTTGAGGAAGTCTGAAAAATAGAATGGTGGTTATCAGAGGGGAATCAGGGGGGCAGGGAGTGGGTAGAGGGGACCAACCAGTTGGTGGTAGATGATGAATGGACATTTGGTGGTGGGGCACGTGGGAAGAAAATGTAATCTTGGAACCAACACAATGTTGTAAACTAATATTACCTCAATAAACAAACAAAAAATTTTTTTGAGTGTCTGAGTCAGGATTTGGGCCCACAGCCCCCTTGGGTCCCTTCTCTTAGCTTTTTACTGGAGACCGTGGGCCCAGGGAGAAGTTGTGAGTTTCTTTTTGGTGCTCCTCCTGCTGAGGAGGTTCTTTAATGATCTGATGGCTTGCCTTGAACTTTCCCACTACTTCTGAAGGGCTCAGAGGACTGCAGAGAGAGATCCAGAGCCCTCACTACACTCCAAGCTGCTATAGAAGGAAGCTGGAATGATCCTAAGGGAGGGAAAAATCTGAGGATCATGGAGGGCCTCAGTGACAGCAAGATGACTTTTATCCTAAGGTCGTAGGGAGCCAGATAAAGTTTTTGAGCAGTGACATGGTCACATCTACGTATGAGAAAAATAACATTGGTGTCAGTGTAAGCATGGCTTAGATCAAGGAGACCTATGAGGAGGTTGGTGAGGGAATCTACCAAGTACTTGCTGGTGGCTGGACCAGGCCAGGGACTGTGGGGGTGGAGAAAAGTAGTGCGGCTTGAGAGATCTTCAGTAGGTAGTTGACAGAGTCATGGAGCTATGTTGTCAATGTCTGTAGTGCTAGGATTAGGTGGCTGAACCAGCAGGGGGCTCTTGCCGCTGAGTCATGGGCCCATTTCCACAGGGACTGTGCTCTAGGGCTTTACCATGCTGGTCACCCTCACATCTTGGGGCCAATCTGCTTCCCACCAGAGCCTCTTTCCTCCCATTTCTCTCCCTTCCTGGGCTTCAAGAGCTGTGCCTCTCACTACCCACCTTCCATGAGCCTCCAGTCAATAGAAGATGTGGTAAAGTGGGGACGTCCCAGTTTCCCCAGCCTGAGTCACCACTTGGTATATTAGAGGAGAAAAACACATAGGATATGTTGAAAGGAAAGGAAGCTAGTTAGTGCTGAGGGCTGGATCCTCCTGCCAGGTGAATATTTACAAACACTCACAGCCGCTCACTTGGCAACACCTGCACTACTGATTCCCTGGGGTGCTCCCCACCCCCCAGTGCTGCAACCAGGAGAGCCTCCTGGGGCCTAGAAGGAGGCAGACAGGGCTGGAACTTCAGGGACCACCAAGCCCCATTCTAGATCGACAAAGAAAGTGGAGGTCAGGGGAGGCCAAGTCCTGTGAAATAATGAGATGAGACCAGATGCCCAGGGCTATTCGCTGCCTTACCCCATGCCAAGTGCTTGGTGGCACAGACTGGCTCTGAGGTCTGTGTCCTCAGAGGACCTGAATTCACAGCTTTGCCTGACAATGACTCCCAGGTTTGAAGGGAATCACAGGGTAAAAGGCAAGTAGTGCTGACTGCCTGGGGAGGTCTGTGAGCCCAGAAGAGTGACACCCTCTGGTTGCTGCCCAGCAGGGAGGAGTGCAGAGTGCAGGCCCAGCCTCATGGCCAGAGGAACTGCAGCCACTTCAGATGCTTCTTTGGAGTGGGCGAATAAGTAGAAGCCTGGGGAGAAGTGGGTAGCCAAGCCCTTTTCCATTGCCCTCCATACTGCAGGCGAGTGGGCTACCTGAAGAAGGACCAGCCACCAGAAAATGGTGAGTTCTTGATGTGAGGCCAGGAGGGAGCCCCCTGTATCATGTGCATGGGAAGGAGAAAGTGACTGACCAGCTTATGTCTGTAATGGTTGCCTGTGGCCCTCCCACCCGTTAGAGCCTGTGTTTGGGCCCTTCTGAGCAGGTCTGGAGCTGGTATTTTGTGGGCTGAGCAACCACTGCAAAGGACAACATGGACTGTGGGTATGGATAGGTCCAGTGTGGGCAGAGGTGGGGTGGTGATCACACACAAGGCAGTGGTTTGTGAGGGTGCAGTCTGAAGCTTGAATCCTAGCTGCCCCATTTACTTACTGTGTACCTGTAAATGGGCGGTAACTTCTTCAGGGAAGTCTTTTTGTTCCCACCTTCTAGTGAGCATGTGGGGCTCACATTCAGCAGGGCAGCAAGTGCTTCCCAGGCTCCAGGAATTCAGGACATTTAGACAAGTTCCATTTTTCCCCCTCCTGGGAGTTGGGGTACTTTGGTCATTACTAAAAGTTTGGACATCTGGCAGACCAGCCTCACAGACTTGTGGCACCAACCCCAGTCGAACATTTCATGGGCTCATAACTCAGTTTCCCGAATAGAATGTTCAGCTCACTTAGTGAACGGTTCTCTCTCTGCCTTTATCCCTCAGTCTCAGCTTCAGTACGATGTTTAGCTAGAAGCCCGCTGTATCTGAGTCAGGTACCTCCTCTGACTCACCATGTCTGATCAAAGACCAAACTACATCGCACAACACTGCCCTCTCCCTCCGGTGTCTCCCACCACAGGCCTGAGGGCAGACCCCCACCTGGCTTGTTTCAGGGCCCAGCACTGAGCTAGATAAGAACGTGGCCCATGTGAGAGCCTGTTAGGTGAAGGGATGGTTGGGTGGGTAGGTATATGGGTAGGTGGGTGAATGGGTGGGTGAGTGGATGGGTCGATGATGGGTGGTTGTGTGAATGACTTGACCATTCTGGGCTGTGCTCTGTGAAAACCCCAGCATTTGAGCAATTATTGCAAATTCCCATATTCTGCTGTAGCATCAACTGCTGAGGACCAGAGACTGATAGCAGTGAGGCCCCATTCCAGGGTTTTTTCTAAAACAGACTGTAAAACTGAGCTTTTAGCAAGTAGGCAGGGCCATATTGGGCTTTTGCTTCCCAGTTCATTGAGTCAGTTGAGCACATTAGAGCAACTGGCAATCAGTTAGAGCCGACCCAAAAGATGGTGTTCATATCTGGATTTTCTGCTACAGAAAATCCACGGTAAGCCATGTAGCTGAGGGGTCTGGCTATGTCTTGGTCTTCCCATCTTTAGTTTATAAAAGTAAATGTTCCAGGGAAGTCAGCTGGCTACCTGCCCAGGGTCCTTCCCAGAGTGGTTTTTCTTGGTGAATTCCTGTGGGCTATACGTGGGTCTCTGCTTTGCTAATGTACAACCTTAATATGATCGATATGCCAGGAGCAGTTTGCTCCGTGGGATGACCTCAAAACTGATCCAGCTTGAGGAGGCTGCCAGTAAAACTGGATTTCTGGCTCAGGAACTTACTGAGAATGTGCTAGCTGACTGGGGGTTCGCTTTCTCTACTCCCTCCGGAGCACCCAGAGCTCACGGGTGGTTGATGAGTGTTCCCAGGTCTCAGACAGTCTGTCGCACCATCTGCAGAACACAACCCCTGCTGGGTCACAGTCCCTGGGCCCAGTCACCTCTGTTCAGTGTTGTGACCGGCCTGGGATGAGCAACCTCCTTGATCTGACCCTTAGCCATCTCCATAGTCCAGCCTCTAACTATGCCAAATGAACTATGAGGAATTTTTAAAGCCTGAGTGATCCATTGTAAAGATGGGGAAGTGGAGGTCAGAGACATGGGGTGTGCTCAACCTTGTGTAATTTATGAGAGGTGAAGGGATTTGAACCCAGGAATTTTACTGCTCTCTCTGCAATGACTTTGCACATCTCTGACCACATCTCCAGGGTGGTGATGTTACAGTTAGCACAAATGCCATTTATTGGGATTTCAGCAGATCTCTCCTCTGTCAAGGGTCAAGCAATTGCTGTTTGGCTCCTATCCCTTGGCTGCTGAGTGGTTGCTGTTGAGTTTCTCATTGTTTACCAAGAGGGGAGACGACAGCCATTTCCAAAGGTGGAAGGCCTGTGAGGAGGGTGCCAGTGGACCCACCTACCCCCTGCTGGGCCAGAAGACGTCTTCTAGAGATGTCAGGCAGCACTTCTAGCCTCAGGTCCCCCCTGGACAGTGACACCAAGGACATTGCAGTGAGGATAAAAACATCCAATGCCTGGCCCATCTGTCTACCTACCTCATTCTTGGCAGAAGCAGGCCCCTGAGCTCTGTTTGTCTAGCCTGCCAAGGCTACCTCACTTAGCAGCTCATAGGAGGGTGTGGTAGCCCCAGGGCACCTCTCTTTGGTGGAAAGTCACTCACCAATGTCTCTCACAGAAACAGTCCTACTCTCCACCCAGGGTATCTTCCATGTTCCCCAGATAGGACTACTATGTCCACTTGGTCTGCAGTAGGTAAAAGTGGCAGACTGGCCACCATATGCAACATTACAAAAATATGCTGGTTACCCCTCGGAGCCCACAGCACTTCACTGAGCCCTTACTCTCTGAGCCTTGGTTCCTTTCCCTTCCCACCAGTTTAAAATCTGTTCCCTCTGCCACCTCTCCTGTTCCTCTGGACGTTGTGGGATGGGACCCCAGGGAGGACAGCACAAGGCCAGTTAGTTGTGGGTCCAGCTGTGCCCCCTGGTGCTTAATCTGTGGTGGTGCAGCACCATGGAGCAAAATGACCAGCATTCTGGGCCCAGGGGAGCAGTGCTGCTCTTGAGAGTGCTCTGCTATTCCTCAGTAAGTTGGCCCCAACATGATCTCTGACCCTAGCAGGCCTTTGGCGCCAACGTTTTTACAAGGATGCCCATGGAGGGTCAGGATTTGGGCCTGAGGGACTTGCTATATGTCACCCACTGGACCCTTGTTAGATAGGTCATTGCCATCATGTCTTGATGACTGAAAGTGTCTGTCAGGGCTGGTCTTTGGGCTCTGCCCCTTATCTCTTCTCTGTCTCCAGAAGGGTGAGGGCCTGGGTTGGGACCGTTGAGGTGAAGGAGGAGAAGGCTGCGTTCCTCTACCCCTACTCATTCTAGGCCCTGTGCTAGATACCCCTGTTGATCTTCTGTCTTCTCCACACCCCAGGGAAAAAAACAAGCAAAAATGCCATGACCATGCAGGTAAGGCAGAGCACCCAGGCCTTAGGATTCAGGAAGCATTAACTCTAGACCCATCAGAGCATGTCCTGGTCCCTGAAAGATATGGAAGCAAAACTGCCAGCCAGTGCCCAGGGCCTGAGTGTATGGTTTCTCAGTAAAACTGGGTCAGATGTTTGACTGCCAGGGGTGAATGCTGGTTCTGGCCTGTCAGTGGGAAGGCTCTTCCAAGCAGCTGCTTCCAGAATACCTGTACAGCACCAGAAGAATATATACCCCAGGGCGTGCCCTACAGTGTATTTGGCCAGGGTCTCACCGAGGTCACTATGTCACTCATGATCCAAGTCAGGTGGGGTCAAACCAGGTCTCCTCTCTCACCACCTCTTGTTTCCTGCAGAGATTATCCTTTCACTTTTGGAGAAGATGCAGACACAGGAGATCCTGAAGATACTGCGGCTCCCTGAACTGGGTGACTTGGGTCAGTTTTTCCGCAGCCTTTCAGCCACCACCCTCGTGAGTATGGGTGCACTGGCCGCCATCCTTGCCTACTGGTTCGCTCACCGGCCAAAGGCCTTGCAACCACCGTGCAACCTCCTGATGCAGTCAGAGGAAGTGGAGGTGAGCAGGGTGGCAGCAGTAGGGCTGTGCAAAGTAGCGGGCAAAGGACAGGCATCTTGAAGGTAGAAGCCAAATTTGTGGCTGATTTGACTACCAGTAACCCAGAGAATCTCAAATTCTGGCAGCCAGCCAGTAAACCCCACAGTGAGCAGGCTTGGGCAGGGTCTCCTAACATGCTCCTTCTGCCTCGGGAGAACCTGAGCAGGCCTCACCTTGGCACAGAGTTTGCTCTTCTTGCTTGGGGGGCCTGGATGCACAGATGTCTCCATAGGAGGCCTAAGCAGCCTCTCCAGGGGCTACCAGATAAATTCCCACAACTCTCCCTGTTCCCAACCCCCATGTGCTGCTGGGGCCCACAGCTGAGCCCACCTCAGGGCCTGGCCCTCTCAGAGCATATGGACTCACAGATAGATCCATAGAGGTAAAGAAGGTACAGCTGTCCAGTCTGGACAAGTCTAGAAGAGCCTGTGAGGTTTAGTTATTAAGCTTATGGAATTTGTTTTGCCTTTTTTAAAAAAATTGTGCTTTTTTAATCCCCTAAACTTTAGTTCCATTCATTTTGAATAGATGATATATTCACAGTTCTCAAATAGACTGAAAAGCTTCCACCTCTTTCCCCTAGCTTCCCAGTTATCCTCCCTGGAGAACTGCATTAACAAATGTCCATGAGCAAATGTATAGATATCTACCCCTCTTTTCAAATGATATGAAGCTACCTACATGGTTCAGCACCATGCTTTTTGCTCTTGACGGTGAGTGTTGGCAATCATAAGCACAGCAGACTTTTGCCTGGTGGGAGAGGGCACAGGTTAAGATAGGGCCACATCTTCAAGACCTTTTTCCAACAGAAGGAATGGTGTATGCAAAGGTGTATGAAAATCCACCTAGTGGCTTTGGGAAATGGTGTTTTGTGTGGCTGTGCCATACAGGGTGGCTGGGCAGTAGAGATGGGCTACAGAAGGGCTAGCAGAGTAGTGATGAGAATGGCCTTTGGTGACCTGTAGCCCCTTAATGGCTGTACCTTTTGCTGGGTGTATGGTCCCTGACAGTTTCTTAACGCTCTAAGCCTGATTTCCTGTCAAGTGGGTAATGAAAAGAATATCTGGTTGTGTTAACTTGCTGAGACAACTCAGAGAAAGGTTTTGGTAAGTTTGTCATTACAACTTACCTGTAGATGCCAGCAAGACCAAAGCCCCATGAACTGGACAGGGACCCTCAGAGTGGGCAGCATGGTTTTATTTTGGGTTTTCAGTGGTAAGTCAATTTGTAGTGTAGAAGGGGATGGGGCAAGCATGATGCGGCAACTGGGATGTCTGGGCAGAAAGTGACATTGAGCATAGAGTCAGGATGGGGGGTGGGCCTGGCTCCATATAGGGGCCACAGAGTAAATCACCTCATGGCACTGGCTTGTATTATAGGGTGTGGGCCATAGCTAAGGCCTCCCTTGCTGGGAAGACTGAACCTTCCCTTGCCTGGGCATCCCCTAGAAGTCAGAGGGGGCCCAGATAATGGATGGCCTTAGTGTTTACTTTGTGTGTTACATGATGAGAGACATAGTTCAGATCATATCACTCACCCCAGCTTACAATTCTCCTGTGACTCCCTATTGTTTTCACTCTAAAGTTTAGAGTCCTTCCTTTGATTGGCAGCTGCTCTGGCCTCCATGTACCACTTTGAGCTCTATGAATGACCTACAGTTCCCAAAATGCACTTGTGCCGCCTGCTCCTTGCATTTGTATTTATTATTGCCTCTGCTGAGATTGCCATTCCTTCCTCTTTCTGCCTGGCAAACTCCTATGCATCCTGCAAAACCCTACTCCATGACCACACCTTGACACACATACCCTCTTGAACCTGTTCTGTCCCTGGCACACAATCTCTTGCTCTGTGGTTTCTTTCCCTCTGAGTGCTAACCAATTCTGACTCTGTGCCCCCAACTTCCTGCATGCATCTCATATGGACCTGGAGCTATGGTAAAACAGAACTTTATACTGCAAAACAGTTGGGAGCTTCCTGTAGTTTTGAGTTTGGCTCTTTACTCTTTTTTTTTTTTTTTTTTTTAAGATTTATTTATTTATTTATTTATCATACAAGCACTGGGTTACAGTCAGAAGTTTCACCAGAGCCAGAGCGGGGAGCAGAGCAGGCAGAAGGACCAAAGTACACTGCTGAGGGGAGCAGCGGGCGGCAGGAGAGGTCTGCGCGCCATGTGGGACCCTCACTCAGCCGCAACGACCGGCACTGCAGAGGCTGCGGGCAGCCTTCAACTGCTGCGCCACCAGGGAGGCCCTGGCTCTTTACTCTTTTTCCTCAGACCTGATCTAAGAGATGGTGGGCCATGGGCCAGCCCAGTGCAGCCCAGAGAGTGCTCAGCAAAGAAACAGAGTTGTGTTGGGAAGGAGTTCTGGACTCGGGGAGCCTGGGAAGGGTGGTTTAATTAAAAAGATGCAGGAGAAGAAACCCAGCTCCTTTCCTTAGACCCTGGTGCCGAGGGTGTTTGCTACCTGTCCACTCTGGATCCCTACCACTGAGGGCACAGAAACTCACTTGCCCTGGCCTCTTTACAGCCCTTTGGACCTATGTTCCTGGGAAAGTACCTTCAACCTAGTAATCAAACTAATTCACACTGATATTGGATGGCAGCCTTCTCAACCAAGGACTGCACCCAAGTGTTTTTAACCTAGGGGCGTAGCAGAGGCAGTGGATGGGAGATATATTGACAGATTGATAATGTTGCCAGGGGATACTTGATTCCAGCCAATACTCCCTATTCCATTGTATGAGTGGATATGGGAGTGTATAATACACAGTAACTGAAAATTCTGGATATTTTGTGTATGCTGACCCGGTATGTGGGTGGTGTGTGTGTGTGTGTGTGTGTACTGGGCCTATATGTGCAGAAGCCTACTATGTTTGAATGCGGATGCATACAAGCCAACTGTGTACAAGCCATGTGAACATGTGTAGAGGTTGTTAGTAACTACACCACCTGTGTGAATGTACATCAGGTGTGTTTCAATCCCAGTTGTATGCCTGATGTACATCCCAGCTGTGTATAGCCTGGTGCATGCTGGTGCCATCTCCTGGCACCTCTGCCTGCCTTACCCAGCTTCTCTGGCCTGTGCTTTGCTCATAGGATAGTGGCGGGGCCCGGAGATCCGTGATTGGGGATGGTCCTCAGCTACTCACCCACTACTATGATGATGCCAGGACCATGTACCAGGTGTTTCGCCGTGGGCTTAGCATCTCAGGTGAGAAAGGTTGTGAGGGTGTGGAGGGGCTGTGGCAGGGATTGAGCAGCTACGAGGGCAAGTGTGGACTAGCATGGTGTCATGGGCATGGCAGGTGAGTGGTACCCAGGTTCAGAGGAGAGAAGTCCCTCTGACCTTTCTCCATCCAAACAGAAAAGTAGCTGTATTATGTGGCCAATGGGCTGACCTCAACTTTGTCCCAGTCTTTAGTTAGGACTCCCAGATCTTAAGCCATCTCCTAGTCCATACTCTTAATCTCCCATTTGCAGTCCCTGCTGAGTCCTGCACTGCCAGGGCCCTGGCTGACTTGGTTCTGAACCTGAGCCTCTGAGATATCTGGGTGACCAGTCTATGGGGCGCATCCCCCAGTGGTCCCTGTGGATCTTCTTGCATCTGCATCACACAGGTCAGGGAACCAGGACTGCATCACTTCCCATTCCTAGACCTCCCTGATTCCTGGGGAGATGTCATGTTTAGGTATATTAGGGCCTCAAGGCCTTCAACAGGTTAGCTGGGAGGGGGGGCAGGTCATTTGTTTCATGGACCGCCCCACTGAATGGGATGTCCATTCAGTTCTCTAATGGGCAGGTATGCCTTTCCTCCTGCCTGGCACAGCCTTCTCTTCTATCTACAGGGAATGGACCCTGTCTTGGCTTCAGGAAGCCCAAGCAACCTTATCAGTGGCTGTCCTACCAGGAGGTAAGTGATAGAGGACAAGCCCTATCCTGTGCACTTGGGCTTCTTGTGGGCACGTTGCTGGGTCTCAGCGGGTCTTTTTTTCCCCTTTGTCAGCACAAGTGTCTTTTCCAGTTTTATATTTAATAGAAGTATTACTTTACAGTATTGTAGAGGTTCCAAAATCACATTCTTTCACCACACCCACAACCACATGTCCCCATTCACCATCTACCACCAACCAATCAGTCCCTTCTACCCACTCACTCCCCCATTCTTCCCCTCTAGTTACCACCTTTCTGTTATTGTCAGGGTATAAAGGTGTGTTTCTGTTTTCTTTATATTCCACAAATGAGTGAAATCCTACATTATTTGTCTTTCTCCTTCTGACTTACTTCACTTAGCATAGTCCCCTCAAGGCCATCCATATTTTCACAAGTGGCAAGATTTCATCTTTTTTTTTTTAAAGACTGAGTAGCAGGCCATAGCGTGCATATAGCCCATCCTCTTTATCTATTCCTCCTTCATTGGGTGCTTGAGTTGTTTCCATGTCTTGGCTCTTGTAATTAGTGCTACAATGAACATAAGGGTTCATAAATCTTTTTGTGTTAGTGTTTTCATAATCTTGAGGTAACTACCCAGAGGTGGAATCACTGGATCATGTGGTAGTTCTATTTTTAGTTTTTTTATATCCAAAAGAGCAGGTTTATTATTAAAAAGGGGAGGAGGGGTAAGGACACTTGCACAGACACAAGCAGGCAAGTGCCCCTGAAAGGGACAGGTTTGTTAAAAGAGAAGCCTGCATAATCACAGTTGGGCGGTCTCCGGAGCAGAGCTGCTGCTCCTGCTTTGCAAAGGGAGAAGGTCGTGAAGAGAAACACCTGCATAGTCATAGGTGGGCAGGGGAGCTGCTGCTCTATTTTTAATTTTTTGTGGTTTGTCTATACTGTTTTTCACAATGGCTACACCAGTTTACATTCTACCAATACTCTTGAGGGTTCCTTTTTCTCCACGTCCATGCCAACACTTACTTCTTAACTTTTTGGTAATAGACATTCTAAACATTGGGAGGTAAAATCTCATTGTAGTTTTGATTTGTAATTTCCTGATGATAAGGGATCATAGAGCATTTTTTCGGGTGTCTGGTGACCAGCTGTACATCTTCTTTGGTCAAATGTTTACTTAGATCCCCAGAAAGTCTTTTTTTCCTTCCTGGCCTGTCTGCCAAATCCCTAACAGCAGTGCCACAGAGCTTCCGGCATAGGAAGCCCATGAGAAAAGCTTCCAGCACTTGGATAGGGAGTTGAAGAAGTCTGTGACACGTGTAGGATCCCCCTTCCCTGCCAGAAAGCACCTTGTTTTCTCATCACTCTCCATGTCTGTATGCAGGCGGCCGACAGGGCTGAATTCCTCGGGTCTGGACTTCTCCAGCACAATTGTAAAGCTTGTACAGACCAGTTTATTGGTGTTTTTGCACAAAATCGGCCAGAGGTTAGTATCTGGTTTTAGAGGAATCAGTGGTTTGGAAGATTGGGTGCCATAGGCTAGCCATGTCCCCACTGTTTGTAAGGACTGGGACAAGAGGAATGATGGGATGTTCTTGACCTATGCCATCTCCTCCACCTTTACCTTTACTCCTTATCAAAACTGGACACCCCAGCCAACTTCCACTCATACCCCAACAGGCCTCACCAACAGCTTCTCCTTGAGTCATAGAGAAGGAGGACCTGGGGAAGAAGCCCATGCACGCCCTAGAAATGGGCTTGGGACTGCTTGACGTAGAATTCTAGAGCTCCAGAATTCCCTGGTCTAGAAGGCTGTGGGTAAGCAGACACAGCTTGTTAGCCTCATGGACTCCCTGCCTCGTGTTGTGGGCCAAAACAATACTCTCGAGGCTCAGGACCCAGAACAAACACCCTGGTTACCTTATCCAAAGGGCATATGGCCCTTTTGTCACCTCTGTGCTCCCCTCACCACTGACTCTTATGTCTCCACAGTGGATCATCTCAGAGCTTGCCTGCTACACCTACTCTATGGTGGTGGTCCCACTCTATGACACCTTGGGCCCTGGGGCTATTCGCTACATCATCAACACAGGTGAGGCCACCTCTACTCCCTCCTGCTACTGGCAGCCAGCCCCTGGCCCCCAGCCTCAAAAAATTGTGCTGATAAGAAACATTTTGCTTTTGCTATCAAAAAACACTAGCGATTTCCTCTTCAGCCCCTGAGTTGACTTCCTGTGTCCAATTGTCCTAAATTATATGTCATTATATAAAGGCTCCTTCCACAGGGCTGGGCTGCCAAGAAAACACCTGCACCAGCTCTCACATGGGTTGCAAACCCTCTGAGTTTCACGGCAGCTTATAGCAGATGCTGGAGGTTGGTAACTAATTCAAGGAGACCTGGGATGATGAGGGCTGAACCTGGAATCTACTGCAGATTTCCTGGCCTTCTTCCCTTGACTCAAATCCATGCACTTACCTCTGTATGCAACACATGGCCCACACGACCTGTCTATGTATATATCTACATGCAATCTGTGGCACATGCAGCTCCTCGCTCTGCCCAGCACATGCTGCCCACAGTCATGGCCTGTGCCTGAATGGCCTGACTCCCCTTCATGCCCCTCCAGCTGACATCAGCACCGTGATCGTGGATAAGCCTCAGAAGGCTGTGCTTCTGCTAGAGCACGTGGAGAGGAAGGAGACTCCGGGGCTCAAGCTGATCATCCTGATGGACCCATTTGAGGAAGCTCTGAGAGACAGAGGGCAGGAATGTGGAGTGGTCATTAAGTCCATGCAGGCTGTGGAGGTAAGGTTTGCTCCTGGGCTGCTTGCTGGGCACAGCTTGTTGGCCACTGAATGGAGCCATCAGAGTTGTCTCAGGCTCTTAGTATTGAGACAGAACAGACTTCAGAAGGACTGGTTGTGGGAGATGGGGTTGATGCCCATAGGCATCCTTGAGGCAGCAGGCTTGATTGACTGGCAGAGTGACTGACACAGGCACTCGCAGGTGGATGATAGTGCTAGGCTGCCCCAGAGCTACTCACACAGCTGCTTAAGCCTCCTTATTTCCAGCTCAGTCTGTCTGTGCCTGAGGGCTATAGACATGAGGTCTCAGAGTCTTGGAAAAGTTCTTGCAATTGTGTCCTGGGCCCCCAGCAGTTAGCAGCACCAGTTTGTCTGTGCAGCACTTCCCAAGATGTCAGGTTGCTGGCAGCTTATGGCCTCTGTGAACTCAATCAGATGACTCCACTGTGCCATATTGAATTAAGGTCCCTGCATCCTCCAGGTCAACCCTGTCTTCCTGTCTTCTCCTAATTGCACCCCTCTGTGGTTTTGGGGGCCTCATCCTCTCTGCCCCTCTAGCTCTCACCATTCATCAGGAAACACAGGCCATCTACTTGGTCTCCTGAGAAAGCATCCAGATGTGCTGTGAGCACCTCAAGCCATCCCCCCATTGTGGATGTGCACAATACCTCACTTCTCCCTGGGCCTCAGGCCCCCATCTGTAATGTGTGGCATGGTCTAGACCTGGAGAGACCACTGAGGTGGTATGTCCCATGAGGCTACATTTAGACAGGGAGTCCTGGGCTCTGGACCTGGTGCAAGAGTAAGGCATACCGTGAAGATAATTTTGATGCATTTACTTTTTAAATTTTATTTATTTATGTATACAAGAGCTGGGTGTAGGCCAGATTTGTGGGGGAGAGGCTGGTGAGAGGATTCACTAGAGACAGAGTGGGGAGCAGATCAGGCAGATCTACTGAAATACACTGCTGAGGGGAGCAGTGGGCAAGCTAGGAGAAGTCTGCTGCACCATGTGGGTCAGTTCCCTGGCTGGGGATTGAATTCATGCTGCAGTGGCTGCGGATAGCTTCTTAGTGCTGAGACTTAACCCCTTGAGCCACCAGAGAGGCCCTACTTATTTATTTTTGATGGATGAGAACTTTTGAGCTTTTAAAAAAAGTGTTTTCCTTTTCCAGGAGTGTGGCCAACGGAATCATCAAGCTCCCGTGGTAAGCTTATTTGCTAGCATGTGTCTAATGAGCAAGACAGTGTGCAAGGCCTGTCCTCACATAGCTTCTCACTGTGCACAGGGCCTTGGAAGAGAGGCCAGAGCAGCAGCAGCACCCCTATGCCAATACACAACTCTTGTGAGCAACTCAGGAAATGCCCACTCGGGGTGCCTCAGGACTTCTGTAGGTGAGGGTTCAGAGAAGGAACTGCAGCAGGAATCAGATATTGGAAAGGGAGAAAAAAGGCCAGCCAATCGTGACTTTCCCTTGGTCCTCCAGCAGTTTTTTCTTTTGGGAAGTCTTATTTTTTCCCTTGAGTGGAGTGAACTCTCTAGAGGATAGGATGAAAAGATGCAGCAACAGATCCAGAAGTGATGCTCAGGGACCATTGGCATCTGCTGTCTTTGTTCATCTTTCTTTGTGAACTCTTCATAGTGTCATTGCTCAAGTGACACTGCCCGGGGTGGAGTCACCTTGAGGGTAGCTGCCCCCTGGGAAGGTTCTCAACTTTTTAATAAGTCCTCTTGCCTGTCCTATGTCCTATATCCCTCCCTTCTCCTTCAGCTCAGCCCTTTCCATTCCCCTCACCACCTCTGTGAGATTTCTCATAAGCAGACCCCAATAGGTCATGTCCCTGCTTCCCAGGGCCTTCACAGGTAGCAGCTAGTGAGTGTCTGCCTCCCATAGATCCTGCCCCAGCCTTCAAGAATGGCTCTCTGATCCCTCAGTGCTCCCTGCCTGTGCCTCTCCTAGACTGCCTACCCTCACCTCATCTGGAGAAATCTTATTTGTCTTTTGGTCTCAACTCTCATGTCACCTCCTTTGGGAAGACATTTGGCAGCTCCTGCCAATGACCCCAGGACTATGTGCCAGGCAAGGGCCTGATGCAGAAAGGCCTTGGTGACACAGTAGGCAGCTCAATTCCTCAACTGTACTTCAGTCTACCCCCAGACATTTGGGACAAAATGTGAAGGGAGGAGGGAGCTGGGTCACAACCACTAAAAAAGTAAGATGTCTATTAGAGGTCCAGACATGGCCACTGCAGCCAAATCTCATGTAGACCTCAGCTCAGGCTCTAGTAAGGGAGACAATGAGACCAGGAGTGGAGTTAGATGCCCAGGCCCTCAGATGTTTCCTTAACTTCTTTTCCCCTTCTCTGCCCACCTTTGTGACCACAGCACTCAGGGACACACACACATACTGACACACACCCACACCCATATACAGCTCACCTGTGCATGTACAAAGGGGCACACTGCTACAGGGGGCCCAGGGTTCTTGAGCTCTGGTGGTTGGCACCAGGTATCCTAACACACCCTTCTTCTTACCTCTGCAGCCCCCGAAGCCCTGTGACCTCTCCATTGTGTGTTTCACAAGCGGCACAACAGGTAAGCCGGAGGCAGCCCGATCACCAGCCAGAGCCACCTGCCCAGTTCCTCAGCAGCCTGGTGGGGTGACTGCAGGGGTCTCTGGTGCCCTCTTTGGTGTGTGCTGAGCCATATTCCTATGTCTGGCTCCAAACATTAGGTCCCTCCTGCTGCTCGCAGTTACCATTGTTGGCTGGATGCAGATGAACAGTGTGGACTGGGAGATCCAGGCTGGGGAATTGCTACCTTATGGAGCTGGGACCAGAGAAGGCCTGGGTGGCTGGGTCACATGTTGGGCACTAGGACTTTTCCAACTGGAGTCTTTCCTCTTTGAGAAGCAGCTCTTGCCCCTCTGCTTCCTGTCCCTCCCTGTTCTTTGTGTCAGCAACTGGGGAAGGAGTGGGGTCTGAGAATCTGATCATGCTTCTTCCGCCCTTGCCAGGAAGCTGTGAGCCAGTCACTTAACCTCTCTGTCACCACTTTCCCCATTTTCTCACCTATGGCAGAGGTGTTTAACGGTGCCATGTAGGAGATAGGATGGTGTGTGAGAGGGCATTGCAGACGCATGCAGACTGGGGCTGGTTACCAGAGGCAAGACTGTCAGGAAGAGGACTAGCAGAAATAACACACGCTATGCCTGGTTGGTGCTGACACAGGCGCACATGCATCAGCATTGGTGGAAAGAGGCAAGGAAAGAAGGCTTCCTGGGGGAGGCAGAATGCGCATGAGAATCATCACCAAAGGCAGTCAGCAGTGCCCTGCTTACCCTCCCACGGCTCCACTTTCCCAGCACAGCCTCAGATCGGAGGTCAGCAGAGTTGGGGGTGCCGCCACCAGCCAATAGAAGCAGAGGACTTGTACCCTGCTCTCCTAACTCCCAGTCCAGTGCTCTTGCCATTGCTGCTTTTCTTACTGGATGACTTGGGAAGTCACTTTCACTTGTTCTGAATGGGAAGAAGTTTCCAGCCTTCTTTTTCCAGGCCAAGGAGTGGCCCATCTGGATGCTGGTGCTTGGTGAGCATGGACATGCTCCCAACATCTTCCACGGACACAGCTTGTCAGTCATTTGTCAGATCCTTGACCAGCCCCACAGACAGGACTGTCCTTGAGGGGAGATCATAATAAACCTGACTTTATTGAAGTGAGATGTAGTCTTGCTATAAACTCAAGTGGATTCAAGGATTTCATCCCACTCTGCTAAACCCTGTCAGAGAAGAAATAATATGGCCCTCACTCTCCAGGAACCAACATCTAGAACCAACCCAGACTCCAAAACTCCCCTTCATGTTTGTTTGTTTTATGTCATGACTTTCACAATGTGAACTCTGAGTGACGTGTCTCTCCACTCTGGATTGGGGAGCAGGTTACTACTGTGGCCTCTAGCTATAGACCCTTGCCTCCCAAGAGTGCCCTTAAGCTTTTAATGGGTTGCTGGGTTGCAGATGCTGCCCCTGAGTCTGGAAGAGAACCACATGATGCAGAAATATGCTGTTGCTCAGTGGAGAGGGAAGGCCCCACGTCCTGCGCTTTTCCAGACTATGGAATCACAATCGAGATCTAAGCCATCTGCCCAAAGTCTATGTGGTAGAAGCAGAACATGAAGTCTGGGATACTGGTTGTGGTTTCAAGCCCAAATCTCCCTTTCCAAAGGAGCGGCTGTAGCTGAGACAGGCTTGGAATAAGTAGACCTCTCAATGGATATCACCCTGCCTGGACAACCTTTGATTTCCTAGGCATTAGCATAAGCCTGTGTTGTGCCTCTGGTAGTTATCCTCTTGTTGAGCACATCAGCCACCTGTGCTCTCAGCATCATATTCCTGGATTCAGCTTTCCTTCCACGCTGAGCATCCTGTCTCCCAGCTTCACCAAGGGTCACATGGTTCTTTCTATGGGGAAAGATGAAGAATATAATCTGAACTTGACATTTAGTTCAGAGTTCTGGTGGAATCACTATGGAAAGATTTTCTTCTTGCATGTGATGGAAACATCTCTGGAGATTCCCAGGATAAGTGCTTTGGAACCCCTAATGAGCTTGGGGTTTGTCTGTACTGTGATGGCTGATGGGTAAGTATGTTCAGCTGAACAGGAATCTGAATGCCCCCTCCAGGAAATAAAAAAAAGAGATAGTTTGTGGTTGTAACAGGCCAGTTTGGGAAACTGAGATCTATGAATGATAGTTAAGATATAGCCTTATGAGTTAGTTACCCTCTCTTCCCAGAGTAGAAAATGCTGTAGTCTAAAATACATGCTTCACATGCTATGTGTTTTTACCATCCTCTTTCTAATTTATGTAATTTCATTCATTCGGCTCACTTACAGAACACCTCCTATGCATCAGAACCACTGATGAGGAGTAGAGTGAGGATACAGGGACAGACAGACACAGCCCTGCTCTCATGAGCTCATGGCTCATGTCATCAGGCTGCTCAATACAATGTGGTCACTGCCTGGAGGGGCTGCATCCTGGGATGTTTAGAGTACCAGGCCACCAAGAAGTCAGAACTGCGGGACAGACAGGGTGATGAGAGAAAGTGAATCCAAACACAGTCCTGAAGGCTCAGTCACTGAAGGAGAAAGGGGGAAGGGTATTGTCAGTGGCAAGCGCTTGGGCAGGATGGCTGCTGTCAAGGAAGTAAATGTTGCTTAAAAGGGAGAGTTGAGTGAGGAAAGAGGTTTAGGAACAGGGTCTGGGAACACAGACAGGAGGGGAATAATAGTGGTAGGAGTTCCAAATGGAGGCTGAGTGGAGCAGCCAGAGAAACTAGAAGAGAACAGACTCCATCAGTGTTGTCTGGTGGGGAAGCTGTGCCCGTAGGTTGCCTCCCCCAAAACACCTGCCAGTGCTCTTTGTAAGGCTTGGCATGGGGCCAGTGGGGGACAGGCAGAAGAGTAATGAGAAGTGAGGGTGTGTATTCAGCAAGTGTGGATACTTCTTTCAAGGAGCTGTCCCTATCACCAAAATGTCCGTAGGATTGGAACAGTCAAAATCTGAAAGCAGCTCAAATGCCCATCAGTAATAGAATGATAAGTCTACAAGAGAATGTTATAACACAATGTGGAGTGGAAGAAACCTGGCACAGAAGATCTTCCTTTTATATAATAGTATAAGCACAATAAACTAGGCTTTGGTTTTCACAGTCAGCATGAAAGTTGCCTTCCAGGGTAATGATGTCCTGGAATGTGATGATGTGTTTCTTGTTCTGGGTGCTGGTTGCACAGGTAAGTTCACTTTGAAAACACTCTGTTGAGTCCAATGCTTATTTGATCGCTTTCCTATATGTGTGTGATGCTGCAAGAGAATGATTATTTTTTAAAAAATGATTATTTTTAAAAAAGATTCATTGTGAAGGAATGGCAGAGAACAAGAGTGGCAGCTGGTGGGAGGAGAATGGGTTTTCTGGGTGATTTCCTGGAAACACCTCCAAGTGTTTCTTACAGTTGAGATTGGATTGCTAGAGATAGAGAAAAGGGAGGCAATGCTTGATGGAGCGAGGCCCCCAAAGCTTTCATAGATTGGGGATGGGGGAGAGAAGAGACTTCCAAGTGCCAGGAACTAGATGTTCCCCACAACTGGGGGGAAGAGAGGAGAGAGGAGTCTGGGAGGCTACACAGATTTGGCGGGGTAGGGGCTGCTCTGTGTAGCAGCAGCCAGGACCCTGATTGGAGGCTGAAAGGAATGGGGAATAGAGCAGCATTCACCAGCCATGGTGTGATGCTTTCAGCGAGGAGAGCCTTTCCCCAAGCCTTTGAGGTCTCTGGTGGGACAGTGGAAAAGACAGACAGCTGGATTGACTTAGTGGGATGGTCAGAGCCGGGTGCTCCAGAGGAAGCCTGGGAAAATGACTGAAGTGAGAGAGAAAATGACTGCTTGGGAGGAGGGTTACAGGGAAGATGGCAGGAGTCATAGGTCTGGAGTCTGTCAAAGAGTCTGAGCAGGAGAGTGCTGGGAGTTCTTAGTGGGGCTGGGAAGATTGAGGATACCCAGTTAAAGCCAGTCATCTTCAGTCATTTGGCTGAGCACATAAATGTCCATCCACCCCAAAGCTGTGGCTGTTCGAGGCAGTGTCTCTGGAGAAAATGCTCACTTGATCAGTCACTCCTTTTGTAATCTCTAGCTTAAGACTGGTGCCATCATTGCACACAGAACTACATTACAGCATTCCTATTGCGTGGCTTTAGGAGACTTTCTTATCCTCTCTTAAACCTCAGTTTACTTGATTATTTTTTTTTAATAGAGGCATGTTTGTTTATTTATTTATTTATTTGTTTGTTTGTTTTTGTTTATACATGCACTGGGTACAGTCAGAAGCGCGGGAGGGTGAGAGAATTCACCAGAGCCAGAGCGGGGAGCAGAGCAGGCAGAAGGACCGAAGTCCACTGCTGAAGGGAGCAGCGGGCGGCAGGAGAGGTCTGCGCACCTTGTGGGACCCTCCTCCGGTGGCCGGGGAGCAGCCGGGGATCAAACCGGCGTCGCAGAGGCTGCGGGCAGCTTCGCAACCCAGCGCTCAACCACTGCGCCACCGGGGAGGCCCTCAGTTTACTTGATTATTAAATGAAAACATTTAATACCTACAGTATAGGGTTGTTTCAATAAATAACTGAGCTACTACTGTATGTATGAAATGCCCAGAGTGATGCCCACATTAATGGGTATCCCGTAATTGGCTGTGATTACAGTTATTACTGTATTCCTACCAGCCTGATTCTTTAAAATTATGGTGTCGATGAAAGTAAGGCGCAATCTAAATAAGATTTGGGAAACTTTAGCAGGGAGATGAACATTATCTGCATTATAAATCTTCTACAGTGTTTCTCTCAGAGCTATGTTTTGTAACTCTCCTTTGAGTAAGTGTAAGTGGGAACAGGAAGCCTGAGGGTCCAGCATGGCTTCCAGCCCCAACTCCCACCCCTAGAAGAGAAACTTGGAGCTCAGCTTCACTCCACAGCTACTGTCTCTTGAAGCCATCGTCCATCTGGGGCAGGTCTTCACTCAGTAAAATGCCCACTAGGTATCATCCATGGGCTGCCCACCCAACACCGGCTGAAGCCAAAAGGCCATTTCCAGAAATTGGATCTAGGAGAGTTGTTTTCCCGTCTGTGGCTGGAGAGAAAATGAAGTTCATGAATGGCCAGCTTATGAGTAGAGGGAGGAAAATGGAAAGTGGGTCTCATAATGCTGAAATGCTAGGGCCTGGTGGCAGCACCTCTCACTGATGTTGCAGTAAATCTATAGGAAATGTGCACCCCTCAACCTGGATTGCATATAGGTATAGCTAGGAGTAAGTACTTAACCTGTTCCTCCATGTCAGCACCTTGGAAAATTTTCCAGATCATGATTAAAAGCGGTGCTGCCAAAGGAATGTATGCACTTATCCTGAATCAGAGCCAAAGAAGCAGAGCCTTTCCAACAGCCCACCCTTTACCCCCAGCTTGGGCCTTTTGTCTCCCCGCAGGATTGGTGGTTAACATTCACTTCTCCAACATCCTTTGGATGACATCTAGATATGACTTGAGGACATAAGTTGAATATTTCTTGGGATTTTTTTAAATTCTGTAACTCATTAGAAGGTTGTAAAATTTAATTCATAACTACGAGAAAACATTTGTTTCTGAAACTTTTCTCATCGCGTTGGAAGGGAACAGGCTTGTCTGACCAAGCAGACTGAGAAACTACTACCGTTGTGTGTGTTTTCACCGAGTTAAATGGAGGCTTTAGATATTTTTCATCAACGAAGACAATTTTCTCTTGAGATTCTTAAACTGTCCACTCTGATGTCCTATTAGGCATGAGTGAGTCAGCCACTCTGGCAGATCTAAAACTCTCTAGCACTAATATTTTGTGCAGGTCTGATTCCATGCCTAGTATTTCAGGGATTTCCTTAGAAAATTCTAGAGCCTGAGAATCCGCAGATGAAAATTTCCAAGTAATACTTCACAGTAGTTTGGGGGCTCAGCAACTCTATGCTAGAAATTTTCTGATAGGGGCCTGGAATTGAGAAAACATGTTGGGATGAAAGAAGGATCAGTAGAGATGAAACAGAGCCCATTGATCTTATTATTTTCGGAAGGAGGATATTTTAACAGCTTTCTATTAAAATATAAATTTTAATAACGTAAATTTTTAATTTATAAATTTAAAAATCCTGTACCCGCGTCCCCTCTGTGATTTGCAATATAGTTTAATTTTTTTTTAAAGATTTATTTATTTATTTATTTATACAAGCACTGGGTACAGTCAGAAGCACGGGAGGGTGAGAGAATTCACCAGAGCCAGAGCAGGGAGCAGAACAGGCAGAAGGACCGAAGTACACTGTTGAGGGGAGCAGCGGGCGGCAAGAGAGGTCTGCACGCCATGTTGGACCCTCACCTGGCAGCCGGGGATCGAACTGGTGCTTCGGAGGCTGCGGGCAGCTTCGCAACCCAGCACTCAACCGCTGCGCCACTGGGGAGGCCCTGCAATATAGTTTATTGCCAGAGCACATGTTAAAATCCTTCCCACCACACATTTTGGTCAGACAGAGATAAGGCGATTATTGATGCTCTTGTCTCTGACAAATAGGTCACCAGTAAGTTGAGCAAACAGGCCTCATGAGATATAATTATGAGAGCAATTTTGTTTTTGTCTCCATCTGTTCCTTTAAACTAACTCAGTGGGGGTAATTCTTTTTCTTTCCCTACATAAAAAGTAGGTATTTTATGCCACTTTTGGTCACTCCCAGGTAATTAAAAGCCCCATGGTCATTGCAAGTCACAAACATAGTCTTAATTCAACTTTACAATCATCAGTCCCAAAATAGGACTGTGTCTACTTCATTGAGACCTCCCCTCTCCCCAGGTAGGGCTGGCAGCTGACTTGGTGGGGAAGGCATGGTCTGCCTTTCCTCTTCTTGTCTCTGGTGTTTCTCCTCCCCCAGCTTGCTAGTGAAGGTTTCCACTCTCTCTCACCAGGTGTAAGTGGAGAGAGAGAATAAGTAAGTGGAATGTAAAAATTGGGAGATGGTTTCAGGCAAATGTTTAAAACTTGCTCTTTGCTTCAAGGATGCTTTCAGTTTTCTTGATGCAAGCAGTGCCCTTCCTTTGGTTGCCCACTCCCCTACTCCTCTACAGCTTTTGCCCCGGTGTGCACTGTTATCACTTCCCCCTGATGTGTGTGTGTGGGTGATCCCTCTGCCATGGCAAATTGACTGGTGCACACGATCCCCTTTTTAACCCACCCCCCACCCCCTCCCCTTCAGACTGATTTTCTTTCTGCAGACTCCATTTCCAGTCCCTGGGATTTACTGTTTTTTGGCAGCCACGGGCTTATTCACCTTTCTTATTGGCTCCCCTAGTTGCAGGGAACATGATCAGCTCTCCTCACAGGGTCTGAGTCAGCTTGGGTATCAGGTGGGGTTGGGAGAGAAGATCCTTCATTCCTTCCCTTGATGGGTTATAAAACGCTCTCCAAAGAAATCCTCCTCACAATAATCTCTCTTTTTCCCCTTCCTCTTTTTTCCTTCTCTCCTCCCTCCTTCCTTCTCCCTCTCAGTCTCACTAAGGTAAAATTTACATGGCATGAAATTAACCATTTTAAAAGTGAATAGTTTTGTTCACTCTCTTAATCTCTACTCATTTGCCCCTTTTATTACCTCTTTCTGGTGTGGGTTGCAAAGTTAATGTACTGGTTTATTTCCTGGATAAATACTGTGCATGGTCTGGCCCCCCCTTGTGGAGTTTCACAGCTATTATATCTGCTGCCTCAGTGGAAACTTCTGATTTAACATGTTTTGTACATGGATTATATCCTTAGACCTTATAGAAGGCCTGTGACCTGTGTTCCTTTCTTATAGGTGAGGACAGTTACAGAGGGGAAATGACTGGCCAAGGTTATGCTAACAATGAAAAGACCTGGATTTGAGCCCAGTCAGACCTACCCAACATCTGCCTCAGTGTTGTGTCCATCCCAACACGAAATGGTGACCAACCTGGTCTCCCTTTCTAGGATCCCTACCTAGCCTCCAACTCAGTCATCCTGTGAGCTCCCAGGCTTCCTCATGAGCAGTAGATCATGTCAAGACAAGCACATCGCTATCCCATCTTTGCCAGTGAGCAGCAGTAGAGGCCTGGGCTCTCTCCAGGGGCTGGATGTGGCAAGCAAGTCCTAAAGTGCCAGATTCTGGACACTAGACCTGTGTAGGCCCCAAGGGCAGCAATGAGTGCTGGCTGTATGTGAGAAGGTGAGGCCGAAAGCCTGTGCTCCCTGAGAGACGGGAGAGGGGAAGGTACAGGCCAAGTAACCAAGCCTTCTGGCCTCAAGGCACCCTACCTCTGCAGCTGTGTCCCCTGCCTTCCGATACCCTGCTGCTCGGCACCTGATGGTGGGCTTCTAGTGTTCACAGGATGAAGGGCCCTGAAGCAGCAGTCATTTTGATGGTGGCTGTGGATGCTGGCCTGAGGCCCAGGTGGATGGCAGTGGGTATCCGGGAATGCCGACTCAAGCACTGTTCTCTAGGAGTGGCTCTTGAGCTTCCAACTAATTAGCCTTCTTGCTTTCTCTTTTCAGGGAACCCAAAAGGTGCGATGCTCACCCATGGGAACGTGGTGGCTGATTTCTCAGGCTTTCTGAAAGTGACAGAGGTGAATAAAGTAGACTCACTAATGCAGGTGTCTCTTGAGGACACCTTGAAGTCTCAGGGGTTTTTTGTTTTATTTTTTTTCTCTCTGATATACTTGGCTGCTATTCACTGGCAGAAGTGTCTGTTTTCATTAGGGCAGCCCCACTTTTATAAATACTTTTAACCCGAGCCTCTGAAATGATCCATATCTGATAAATATTCAGTTGATTTCTGAGAGCATTCAGATCCCAGAGAGAAAAACATGTAAACTATTTTCCATTCGTAACTTCAAAAACTGAGATACTTGTGGTTTTGTGTGTGCCTTTATTTAGAAAGTATTCCTTAACTTGTTTTTCAAGTAGGTCAGGGTTTAATTCAGTCATTTTGTATTTAAGGACTACTAGAGTCTGAGAAACAACGGCAACTGCTAATTTATAAGGCTGTACTTAAAGGTAAATCTAAAATCCAAAAAGCTTGATATCTTGGCCTGACAAAAGCATGTTAGCATTTTATAACCAGCTAAGAAAAGAAGGACCTTTTTCCATGAGTGGTGAGTATCCAAATGCCCTACAGTTTCCTTAAGGAGAAAGAAAGGTACTTGTTCATGTCAGTTATACTTTTTCTCCACTGTGGGGAAAAGCATCCACATTCATGCTGGATGACATCGTGGAGCATGTGCCCCGGGCAGTTACATATGTTGGTAGAAAAGTCAGGACCCTAGACTCATGTTCTCAGAGCTTGTCGAAACTCATTCACAAGTCAGCCCAGGAGAAAGATGGCCTCTTTGAAAGGGCAGTGAGCTGGGGAGTCCAACATGGCCTGTTCCTTGTCCCTGAGGTCAGTCCCATCTGTGAGATGTGGGCCGACAGGTCTCCCTCCGCTTTCCCAGGCCATGACTTGTGAGGCCTGGTTCGGCTCATACCCCAACCATACTTGATGGAGACTTAGGGTTTTCTGGGCTCCTTTCTATGGAAGGAGTAGAAAGTGCTGACAATAGGAGATAGGAGACCCTCTGAATCCCTGCCCAGTGGCCAGGGGAAGTCCAGGAAATGGGCCCTAGGGCAGCTCCTGCAGCTGTGGGGAGGCGGGTAGAGAGCCAGGCTGGCGCCAGCTGACTACAAGTGAGGTCAGTCCAAGAGGAGACTTCCCTGCGGAGCTCAGCTCTGCTGGTTTATGTGTGCTTCATTTGGCTCTTTGCTTCTGCAGATAACCTAGACCCACTGGCGCTGCGACCTAACACTCCGCTTCCTATGCTGCCCTGTCTCTCTGTCTCTCTTTTCTTTCTGCACCTTTCATCTTCTTCCTTCTCTCTCACATTTTTTCTCTCTCATCTTAACTCTCTCTCTCTCTCTCTCTGTCCCTCCCCCTCCCAACTTCCCTCCCCCCCTTCCTGTTTGCCCCTCTAGGACCATTTTCTCTTTATTGTTTTATGACTCTCTTGTCGTCTTCCTGTCAGTGTTTCTTTCCTTTCTGTCTCCCATGCCCGTCACCTGCAGAAAGTGATCTTTCCGAGACAGGACGATGTGCTCATCTCCTTCCTGCCTCTGGCTCACATGTTTGAGAGAGTAATCCAGGTAAGACGCCCACCTGACTGACCGGGCCTTGCCTGGGCTCCTTCTGTTTTCTTACAGAGTCAGTGGGCTCCCACTTGTGCGGATGTGCACATTTCCTATTTGCCTTTAGCACACATGTTTGAGCGAATGGTGCAGGTAAGGCCCTGGCTTCAGGGAGGCACAATCTGTACCCAGAACCCTAGTGAAATGTCACTTGTCACTCTTGGCTTGAAGTAGAACTAAGTTGCCTGTCCTTGGAAGGTACCTAAGGGTCAGAGGGACCAGAGGATCTCGACCATCCCACCCATCTGTCCTGGGAGCACTGCTCCAGGGAAGACCCCAGCTGATGGCATCTCCTCAGAGAGCATTGCAGCTTTGCAGAAGGGTTCCACCATTGACCCTCTGCAAGTGTGGCTCATTTATAGCCAAGGCACATCTATACCATAGCTTGTAAATACCTAAGAAAAAGATAACAAGGCAGTAAAGTTAGGGAATCACATGTAATTCTTCCTGAATTACATCTCAGGCTGTAGATGGGACTGGAGGAGTGACTGGTCCTAAGACAGGCCTTGAGGGGTAGAGAGAGAATGGGGAGGTGGAATCTATATGAGGTGGTGGAGGGGAACAAAGAATTCTCCACATTTGTCACTCAAGGGACCAGCATGTAGACAAACTGTGTCTTCTAAGCCTCTCTCATTTTCCCTTGGGATGAGGATTGGGTGTAGAGCTGGTATAACAGGACATGCCTTCTAAACCTGGATTATAATGCCAGCCGTACTGTGAAATAGTTTGGTGACTCTGGGCAAGTCCCTTTACATCTCTGGGCTTTGTTTTCCTCACTTGTATAATGGAGACAAGGAACACTGTCTCCCTTGCAAGGTTGTCGTAAGCAATAAATAAAGGAGCATATAAAAAGCCCCTGATGTACCCCTAGTCTCATGGGAAACTAGTCAGGCCTCCCACCAAACAACATCCACAGCCAACATTTGCAGCATCTCTAGTACTCATGGGCGCTGTGCACTCTTACAGAGCTGCTGAGAAATCTTTAGGGGAAATTTCTACCCTCTAAGATGGGAAGCAGACCCAGTGATATGGGCTGGTACAGCTCAGAGGCCCAAGTCTGCAGGGAGGCCCCATAGGAGTGAGCGTGAGGGGCAGGCTCCAGTGAGACCTGACTGGCTGCTAGGGTTTCTCCCACAGGCTCAGGATTCCACTCCATCCCTTATTTCTTCTCCTCATACCTGAGTGAGACTTAGTGCAAAGGTGGTGGGGTGGGAGGGGAAAGGGGGGATTACTTCAGTGGTTCATGGCAGCAGCCAAAGCTGGGTTAGAGGGTCATGGGTAGCAATTTGGATAGCTCTGGACCGCAGCCAAGGGTGCCTCTCTGAGGGACTCTTCTTTCCTGTCCCCTCCCTCCAGTCTGTCGTCTACTGCCATGGAGGCCGTGTTGGCTTCTTCCAGGGAGATATTCGCCTCCTCTCAGATGACATGAAGGCTCTGTGCCCCACCATTTTCCCTGTGGTCCCTCGACTGCTGAACAGGATGTACGATAAGGTCAGCCCTATGGGGGTGTCTAGCAGGGCTGAGTGGCTGCCTGTCTGCTTGTATGGAGGACTCTGGAGCCCAGGCAGTCTTTCTCTGCCTTCAGTCCCAGGTCCTGGATGTTATCTCCTCTCTTGAATTCTTGGCTCTCCTATTTTTCTTCCTATTTTTCTTCCTATCCTTGAAGACCCTGGTTGGCAAGATTTTTTTTTTTTTTTTTTTTTTGTAATTTCTAGCCCTACAATGTATCTGACCCTTGTTAGTGTAATCCTGTGGAGATACACATTCACCTCTGGCAGGGGTAAAGGGATCAGGGTTTCCCTTCTCTGCTGGCCAGTCGGGCCTTTTCCTGGGTGCAGGGTTACATCATGGAATATGCAGACCCAACAACTGTTTCCAACTTATGTTCTTCAGATCTTCAGCCAGGCAGACACGCCATTAAAGCGCTGGCTCCTGGAATTTGCAGCGAGGCGTAAACAAGCTGAGGTTCGGAGTGGAATTGTCAGGAATGATAGCATCTGGGATGAACTCTTCTTTAATAAGATTCAGGTAAGAAAAATGAATGAATGATTATAGAGCCACAAACAAATGTCTGGTGGATCACCTTACAGAAGAATTAGATTTCATTCCAGTGGCCTGTAGTCTTATAAAATGTCTCATTTGCTCATGAAATCAAAGTTAAAACCACCATTGAAATTCTAAAGGACTCATTTTTGGTTCTTTGGAGATGTGTTATCGTTGCCAAAAAGCAACCAGCAAGAAGTACTCCTGGAAAGCAGGTCCCCCACCTTCCAAGGTGCTATGTCAGCTTTGCCATGGGTGCACAGATCCACCAGTGACCCCTGGGGCTGGAGGTTCCCTTGCTCTGCTTTGTAGCCTTAGCCATGGCTGCTTTCCATCAGCGCTAGGCTCTAGCCAGATGGCCAAGAGTCTTTCTTATTTATTTATTTATTTATTTATTTATCTATTTATTTATTTATTAAGATGTATTTATACAATCACTGGGTAAAGGTCAGAGGTGCGGGAGGGTGAGAGAATTCACCAGAGACAGAGCAGGGAGCAGAACAGACAGAAGAACCGAAGTACACTGCTGAGAGGAGCAGAAGGTGAGACAGGAGGGGTCTACTGTGCCATGTGGGAATCTCCCTGGCCAGCCGGGAATTGAACTGGCACTACAGAGGCTGTGGACAGCTTCACAGTGCTGTGCTCAACCCACTGCGCCACCGGGGAGGCCCTTTCTTTTTTTAAAGATTTATTTTTATTTATTTATGCATACAAGAACTGGGGTACAGGGCCTCCGCGGTGGCACAGGCGGTGAAGAGCCACACTGTGAAGCTGTCTGCAGCCTTTGCAGTGCAGGTTCGATCCCTGCCGGCCAGCGAGAATCCCACATGGTGAAGCAGACCTCTCCTGTCTCGCCTGCTGCTTCCCTCAGCAGTGTGTTTCGTCATTCTGCCTGTTCTGTTCCCCGCTCTGTCTCTGGTGAATCCTCTCACCCTCCCACGCATCTGGCCTGTACCCCGGTTCTTGTATAAATAAATAAATCTTTAAAAAAAAGTGTCTTTCAAAAAAAAATAAGAACCAGGGTACAGACCAGAGGTGCAGGGCAGGGAGTAAGAGGATTCACCAGAGAGAGAGTGGGGAGCAGAACAGGCAGATCTACTGAAATACACTGCTGAGGAAAGCATCACGTGAGACAGGAGAGGTCTGCTGCATCATAAGGGTTAGCTCCCTGGCTGGAACTCATGCTGCAGTGGCTAGCAATCGCTTGATAACATGAGACTTAACCCCTGTGCCACCAAAGAGACCCCCAAGAATCTTTCTTTTCCTGTTTCCTTTCTTCCAAACCAGCCCCATCATGAATTACTTCTTTATCCCACTAAAGTTTTCACCTGTGCCTTACCCAAGCAATTTGTAGTTAATTAGTAGCATTACTCGTTTTTTCTTACTACTCTATTTTCAGCTCTGACATTAATATTTAAACTGTCTTGGCTAAGCTTACAGAAACAAAGTCTTTAAAGAATTCTTTGTCCTATGCAGTGCATAGTAAATAGAGCATGGTATTGATTTATTAAAGGAAAAAGGGCCATGCCATTAAAATGGAAGTGGGAAGAAATTGTCCTAAGTAATTGTTTTGGATGCTAGCAAATGATGGGAGAGTGAGGGAACAGTTGAGTATTTTAAGGAAGAGAGACTCAAGATTATAGAATGCCACACCAATTAATGGCACTTATCTTAAAAGGTATAAAAGAGTTGGTCATATTGTGGGTTGAGTTACAAAACTGATTTATTCTTTTGAAAGGAGAAGGGTCTTCTCAACTCATGTGTTGTTCGGCTTCAGGCCTCCTTTCTGGTCTCTACCCTAGAGCCGGTAGGGTGCAAATGTTGAATGTGTCTACCCCAAATGGGGTAGACACCAAATGGGGTAGACGCTACCTCCGGGGCACAGCCTCTGACCGTTTCTTCTTTTTTCCAGGCCAGTCTTGGTGGGTGTGTGAGGATGATTGTTACTGGAGCAGCCCCTGCATCGCCAACAGTACTTGGATTCCTGAGGGCAGCACTGGGGTGCCAGGTATTGCCATTAGATGGCTTTCGCTGGGGGCAATAAATTGTGCATTAGGGCAGGACACCCTTTACTGTGCAGAAAAGATTAAGGGAGCAAGATTTTAGTGGGATAAAAGCTCGCTTCTCTGAGGATAAAAAAAGGTCCACAGCAGTGAAAGCCAGGATAGCCTTGCAATAATCTGGAAAGCCCAGGTGTGTCCATGGGACAAGGGAGCCAATAAACTATATAGGGATCATCAATGTGCTAGAGAATCTGTCACACCTATATTGTGACTGCATTTCTCAGCCTGCGAAATATCTCCCAACACAGAAAAGGGGTACAGGGAGGGGGGATGAAGATCCATTTATGTTTGTTTTCTGATTCTATGGGTTCTATCATCTCTTAAAAATGAAGGAAATGATTCCTTCATTTATCCACTCAAAATTAATACATATTAAGTTCCTACATACACAGGATATAATAACGTGGTTGTGACTGATGAGTTTTTTTAAGTAAACTAGTCACATGTATTTCAAAAATGCTTGCATTTTTATACTTTGGGTGCCATAGGCTTCTTACACTGTCTTCTTGTTCTACACCAACATGGCCTGAACACTCCCAAAGACAGACTCTACCACATAGTTTATTCCTGCAATCACATGGGGCTCTGGAGGGGAATCTCTCACAGACACAAAATAAAACAGTGGATCTTAAAAATATTTGCCTTTAATGCATACTTTCCAAGTGAAAAGTAGCATCAGTGTTTAAAAATAGGTTAGAAATCTTTACCCCAAAACCACATAACCTTCTGTACTAAGTGTCTGTGGTAATAGCACTTCTGCCAAGCCAAGTAGTTGTCTGTGTTCAGCTTCACATGAAGTTACCTACCTCCAGAGGCCCTTTCACCCTCCCCAGCATGGTGCAGCCAGATACTCAGTGGGAGGTGGCTGGCTGCAAAGGGCAGCCAGTCAGCTGCAGGAGCGTGTGTGCCTACAGTGTGGTTTCCATGTTTTGCTTGAAGGTTTATGAAGGTTATGGCCAAACTGAGTGCACAGCGGGATGTACCTTCACCACACCTGGGGACTGGACCTCAGGTAGGATGGGTTAAAGATGAGAGAATGGGTCATAGGGCACTGCTGAGTAAAAGTGGCAGGCTCTACAACTTCATCACAGAAAGTATATTTACATACTTACAAAGAAAGCAAAAGAAATAAAAGAAAAACACTGATTTTGGATATTTATAGGTTGTGGCATTATGGATCTATTGTTTTCTTTGTTACATTGTTTTGCATTTTTCCACTTCTTTTATAGGTAAATAAAAGTCATGTAAAAATAACAGTTCAGAAGATAGCTAGAAAAATCAGTAAATAGTGGTGCATTGAATTTGCTATACTTGCTTATACTTGCTTATAGTCGCTTTAGAATGAAGGAAGTAAGCTGTGGTTTAGCTATGATTTAGGAAGTAGAGGTAAGTTTGTAGAGGTAAGAGCACTCTTTCTTATAGTGCCATTTCAGAGACCCTTCAGGACCTAGATTTTCCAGTGACAATAAGATCTAGAAGGCAGGCTGCCTGAGGAAGAAGCAGCCCCTATCCACATCCTCATTCTGAAGAGACTCACTTTTTAGGGCAAGGAGGAAGCAGTAGGTAGCTCATGGGATGTCCACCAAATTAGACCAGACACTGAAACAATCTGAAAATAACTCAGCAAAAGAATCCTTCAGGATACTGTCTTCCTCTTCATGCCTAAGTTTGACTAACTACACATCAAAAAAACTTGGGATGATGTGCACACAAAAGAAATATGCTCAGTGATGCAATACTATTTTCAGAGCACTTTACAGAGTCAGCAGAAACATGATAGGTGGATTCTGAGTTGAAATCACATTTGGCCAAGTCACATACAGAAGTTTTTTCTTTCAAGTTTTAACTCTTAAAAGTGCATTTTATATATAAATACCTCGACATATCTACCATTGGAAAACCTACTATAAGAACTGTCTCTGAGGTGCTGGTTCACTAACTTTTTTCTTATTGCCACCAACACATTTCCTGATTGCTCTCATATATCTATCCTCTTTGGCCATTTTTTTTCCCTTTTATGTCATTCTTTTCATCTTCCTATGTAAGACTTTTGAGGTTTTGTATTTTTTTCATCCTTACCATAAAAACTTCCAGAGAATATTGAGTATGAGAAATGCATACCTTTGCACAATTGTGAAAGATTTGGCAACTTCCTTACCTAAAAGAGAAACCAAAGTGTCACAACCTCATTCTTCATCTGCATGACTCACATCTCTTTCAGGACCTTGGCCAGCACCTGCCTAAAAATCCTCCACCTTGCCACTGAATTATTTAGTAATCACTAGAAAACTTAGATGTCATTTTGTGGTTGAAGTGTATAAAACCAAGAAAACCTGAGGCCTTATTTTTCAGGTGTGAGTTTCCTCATCCTTGTTTTCTATTCATTTGTTACTCAAAGTGTGTGGGACAGAGACTTCAGCCTCAGCTGGGCACCTGTAAGCAGTAGAAAATCTCAGCCCTCATTCCAACACCTAGTCTAGAGCTATCAGACTCTACATCTTAACAAGACTTCTAGATGATCACTGTGCACCTGAATCCAAAGTCTGGTAATTGTTGGCAAAGATGGCTTTATTTTATGATCCCAAACCAACATGTATTCTGAGAAGAGGGAAAATGTCTTAATATGGGCATTATTGTAGAAAAAAACCTAACTGTATGTTCGGGTTGGTGTGAGCCCCCAGATCCTGTGTATGCTGGTGCTAGAACAGCTGTGCCTGTCCCACTTTTTAAGAATAAAATAAAGGCCCAGCAGAGGCTGGCCTCTCCTTTCTCTGGAACTTTATTTTGTCATCTGTACTCAGCAGTTGCCTATTACAAATACCCATCTAACAGCTTTTCACCCATAATTGCTCACTTTGAACACTCAGGTCAGGGGGTATGGCAAGGGCCATCTTCAGTGCTAAAATTGATCTGAACATTGACATGTGCTCTGTTGGTCTGGTGTTCTAGGGCACGTAGGGGCACCCTTGCCCTGCAATCATATCAAGCTGGTTGATGTCGAGGAACTGAACTACTGGACACGCAAAGGAGAGGGAGAGGTAAATTGAGGCATTCACTCATGTCTGTGGGTGTTACATGTAGTGAGTTAAAAAATGGAAATGGAATTATCCTTTTTTCACCCAATGTGTAAATCACTTTAAATCACTGATTAAATATGACTGGCCTGAATTCAGCTCTTCCTCTCCTGTTTATGGAGCAGTCAAACCCCAATGCAGGCTGGTCTAAATCAAGATTTGGAATTCCCAAACTTTTAAAAAAATTCTTTTTTTAGTCCTGCTTGGCATGGTCTTCTGCTGTGTGTCTGTCCCAGCAAAAACAAAACCATTAGCAAATAGGCCAGATGGGATAGATAGAATTGGCTTGTACTTGTTCATTCCCTGAGAGTGAGTGGGAAAGCTGACTGGTCATGAAGCAGGGGTCTCAAGCATCTCTGGTATAATCAGCCAGCCATCAGCTTTTGATGAGCCCCCAACCAGTGTCATCAAGTACCTTATGTGGACAGCTAGGGAATTCCTGAAGAAGGAAAGATGACAGAGGGAGGCCAGGGCATGGAGGAAAGATGGAGGAGACACTGCTTGGGAGAGGAAAGGAGAGATTTCAGCTGGAAGTGGCTGTTCCTGTCCTCTGTTGCCCTCATTGCAATTTCCACAATGGATTTCCTGAGGGATATTATTCTCCTCAAGCCTCTTGACAGCTTCACATTAGCATTACTTACGCTGTGGGCTGAGAGAAACTAGGTGTTTGTCCCTACAGATATGTGTGAGAGGACCAAATGTTTTCAAAGGTTACTTGAAAGATCCACTCAGGACAAAAGAGGCCCTGGACAGTGACGGCTGGCTTCACACTGGAGACATTGGGAAATGGTTGCCGGTGCGTATGTTTGGAACAGAGCTCTAAACATTTTGGTGATGGGAGGGTGTGTATTCTAACTCAATCCTGAGATGGAGCTTTCTCCATAGACACTGTGATAATCCTTCAGGAACACCTCTAGGGATTGGGAGGTTCTTCCTTACCTTGCCCCACTCAATCTTCCTCCTCCCTCCCCCATCCTCCTGATGAAAGTGATGGGGATCTTTGTGAGAGGGCAGAGCTAGAATTTGAGACCCACTCCCTACTCCTAATGGTTTTGAAGAAGACAGTGCTGTGGAATACAGGGAGCAGGGGGGTTATAACCCTAAGAAATCTGAGAAAGGTTCTGGTATTTCTTTTCTCTGGAACTTTGAGCTGAGAGATGGCCCTGAGCAGTGAGTAAAGCTTGGAGCTGGGCAGGAGGATGCCTGAGTTCCTTTGGCTCTGCCAGAAGTTATTCTTGTGATGTTGAGCAAAGCCTGTCCCCCTGAGGGGTCCACATTGGTTCATTTGTAGAATGAGAGCAAGGCTACATCATTTTCTTTGGCTCTGACCCCCAGCTCTTAGTCTAAACCTTTTATTGTGCTTCATTCTGTTACTTGTGAAATAGGGATAATAGCATTGCTTGCCACTATGGGTACTGTTGTCAAGAATAAATGAAATGATACCTGGAAAGCACTGAGCAAAATGCCTCTCACCCCAAAGCTGCTTAAAGGAAAGCTATGACCAGATAAAGCCTCTGTCACTGAAACAGAGAATCCCCACCTCATGCAGCCACCCAGGAAAACCTCTGGGAAGTTGCTATGATTCTGGTTGGACATTCTGAGATGTTGAGTTTATCAGGTATGTGAATAATGTTGAGCCCTCTGGGGGATCTTTAGGCTTGTGCACTGAGATCTGTGTGCATTCTTTCAAGAAACTCATTCCTATAGCAGATGAGATATATCCCTGGCATGTGCCTGGGTCAGGGATTCTGCTGGGGGTTGGAGGGTGATGCATCTGTAGTGTGATGATTAGCATGAACTGAGGACCATGCTCACTAGGGAGAGGAAGAGGAGGACAGGATCCCACAGGATCTGTCTCAGAATATGAGTCATGTTTCAAGGAGAGAGGAGACAGTGGGAAGGACAGGGCAGGAGCAATAGCATGTGTTGAGCAGAGAGATGCTTGAGGTGTGAGGCAGGCAATTCCAACTGGGGGCCATAGGTGTGAAGGAGGGAGGCTGGAGGTGCTGCAGGGGCCCTGGATGCCAACAGAGAGTGAATTGCTCCATTAGCTAGAGAAGCTTACACTTTGGAGGCTTCACTTGCATAAGTCCCTTCCAAGGCTCTGCACTTCCTTTTATATTAATTTTTTTGAAGAGAGTACCCAACATTAAAAAAAAACCTTGAAACCCCCCAAAAATCTTGGATCTACTGATGATTCTCTGTAAGTTGGATAAAAACCACCCACCTTGGAGGGTACTGTGAGGAGCAAGTAAAAATTAATTCCTATAAAGCACCTAGTGTTTTGCTTGAACTCAAGGCACACACAAGACAGTAGGTGGGCAGTCTGTGGGAGTCAATTTTTTTTTAATTATTTTGAAATAATATCAGCTAGGTCAAGTAAAAGGTTAAGCCAATGAAGAGATAAATGGTAGTTACCACAAGGAATCCTGTCAGTGGAAATGATGAGGAAAGTGCAGTTTTCAAGGGCTGAGCCAGAGGGAAGAGATCCACCTAATCACCTCAGAAACTCAGAAAGGTCAAGGGGAATCAGGAAGGTGACTGGTGTTCTGGAGGCCAAAGGCAGATGTAGTCACTGCTGAAGGGGTGACCTGTCTGCTGCAGAGGTCCTGGAAAGATGGACTCCTAATACTATCTGGCTGGTCAGGTAAGAGCGCTTGGGACCTTGGCCAGCACTGTGCTATGTGCCTGGGGAAAGAAGAGGCTGCTCTTTGCTTTGGGAGTGGAGGCAGTGTTGGGCGAGAAGCCCAGGGCTGGTTTAAAGGAGTGAATCTGACATGCTGGTGAAAGGGGGACAGCTGGAGCAAGGGCATAGCCAAGAGGTGAGGCCTAATGGGATCTGTTGCTGGGCAAGAGGGTGACTGGGGTTGGAAGGACTCATGTGGACAGCAAAGTTGATGAGAAAGGATAGTGCCACTATCCGTTCTCAGGGCCCAGGAGTACTTGGGAACCATCAACCAGTGGGGCACAGTGATTCTCTCCAGTTGTACAGTAGCACCAGAAGAGCAGATGCCATCTGGAGAAGCAGACATGGAGGGGTCTGCAGGATAGGACAGGGCAGGGGTAATGGCACCAAGGAGTGAAGGGTTCAGGTTCAGGAATGCCATATGTTTATGAAACTATTTGTCCAACTCCACAGGCAGGAACTCTTAAAATTATTGATCGGAAAAGCACATATTTAAACTTGCTCAGGGAGAATATGTTGCGCCCGAGAAGATTGAGAACATCTACATTCGAAGTGATCCAGTGGCACAAGTCTATGTCCACGGGGATAGCTTAAAGGCAAGTCCCCTCTGCCTCAGTCCTCCCACTCTGAAAAATCTAGAGTTATCTTGGAACAAGTTGCTATGTATTTGGTATTTTATTAAATTGGTAAACATTTTAGCAGTTGACTCCAATCAGACACTGGTATTCTCCTATGCATATTGAATCATGAGAGAAAATCCCTTTTTATTTTTTTTTAAAGATTTATTTGTTTATACAAGAACAGGGGTACAGACCAGATGTGCGGGAGGGTGAGAGGATTTACCAGAGACAGAGCAGGGAGCAGAACAGGCAGACTGACGAAATACACTGCTGAGGGGAGCAGCGGGCGAGACAGGAAAGGTCTGCTGCGCCATGTGGGATTCTTGCCGGCTGGCCGGGATTGAACCCACGCTGCAGAGGCTGGGGACAGCTTCACAGTGCAGCGCTCAACCACCTGCGCCACCAGGGAGGCCCCGAGAAAATCCCTTTTTAAAGAAGAAATCTCAACTGCTTATAGTTTATTAAACTGCTATGAGGTTATTTTCTTGAGGTAATAGTAATACACATTCCCACTACTTTAAACTTATGCTCTACTTACTTCAAAGAGAAATTTTGAGGTAAGATGCTAAAGCAAAATACAAGATTTTTGCTGTTTTGAAATATGTAAATGAACTTTATAGCTAATTGGATGGAGTTTTGCAAATAATGATACTGATGGTAAGATAGCTAATTAGGATTAAATTATTTGAAGAGGACATATGTTCTACTTTCAACATCTTTCAGCTTCGAAGTCAAAAATATCACTGTGAATATTTTCTGAGTTGCCATTAGGTTTATATAACTAGGTATTGTTAAAGATTTTTAAGAAAGTGCTTCAAGGGCCTCCCTGGTGGCGCAAGGGGTTAAAACACAACTTATGAAACTATCCGCAGCCACTGCAGCAAGAGTTCGATCCCCAGCCAGGGAGCTATCCACATGGCGCAGCAGACCTCTCCTGACTCACCTGCTGCTACTCTCATCAGTGTATTTCAGTCAATCTGCCTGTTCTGCTCCCTACTCTGTCTCTGGTGAATCCTCTCAACCCCACACCTGTATCCTATACCCAAGTTCTTGTATGCATAAATAAATAATTCTTTTAAAAAAAAAGTGCTTCAAAAGATTAAAATGGAGTCCATGAATGAGAACAATATTAGTACAACAAATTCATAATAATCTGGAAATCCTAAAAAAAAAGATGTTTTTGCTTCAGGGATTTGTTTGATTGGCATCCCGAAATGTATTCATTTAGGATTGGCATGAGAATCAGAGATACATATGGGACTGATTGTCTTTAAACTTTACTGATTGTCTTTAAACTTTTTAGTTTTTAGTTTGTTTTTCTTGCCAATTTAGGGGAATAAGTTAGTAAATAAACAGTCAAGAATGTATAATATATTGGTGGAAATGCTTCATAACTGAAGCATATTCTTATTTTTAGAAAAGGGTGGAGTCTGAGAATACCAAGAAATTATTTTTAATGATGGATCACAAATAACCACTTTAAAAGGCTTTTGTCATGATTGTTTTCCTTTCATGGATTTTCTAGGCCTTCTTAGTGGGCATTGTTGTGCCCGACCCTGAAGTCATGCCCAGCTGGGCCCAGAAGAGAGGAATTGAAGGGACATATGCAGAACTCTGCACAAATAAGGTTGGTACCTTGGTGCTATTTCCTAAAAGGCTGTTGGAATTTTTATGATACTGTATAATGAGAGGCACAAAAGCAGTATATCCATGAAATTTGGACATGTAGGGGAATTTCTAACATTATTTTGTGAATGGTGGAATCTTTTACCTGAGGTTTTGCTTTTTTGGAGTTGTTGAAGGAACTCCTACTTCTTTAAATTTGACAAACCATTGAATTTTAGAGCCAGGAGACATCACCAAAGCTCGCCCCATTGTTTCAAAGCTTGGAGGAAAGTTCTGAGAGGGAGGTGACTTGTCCAAGGCCATACAGCGCATTAGCAGCAGAATCAGATGAGCTCAGGCGTTTGACCTACTGACCTGCTCTTTTCAAAATGTAAAGTAGCTTTTGTTTTTACTGGAATTGAAAGAGCAACACAGTTATTTCTGTGTAGCATTAGCATTAGCTACTCACAACTTCTAGAAACATTCCCATGGCACATGTAAAGTCCTGTGGAGGAACATATCTGTTGTCTGGCTCAGTATCAGCCCTCTCCAGTCACATGGACCCTCTCTCTTCAGCAGCTATGGACTCTAGCTCTCCTACGGGGCTCTGGGGATGACAGAGGTCCACTTTTTAAAAACTCAAGTGCATTTGGTCATGCCTGGCCTTACTTGCCTGATGAGAGGTGGTGACTGGCATGTGGTCCCAGAGTATCATCTTCAGTGGGAGGCAGGGTAGAGCCTGTTAGCATAATCACCAGTTGTGCTTTACTCAAAACTCAATGTTTTTCTCTACCTCCATTTTGAAATGTGTTTGTTTGTTTGTTTTTTGCCTTGTAATTTTATGTATATGGGTCAATTTAGGAGCTGAAGAAAATCATTTTGGAAGACATGGTGAGGTTAGGAAAAGAAAGTGGACTCCATTCTTTTGAACAGGTAACTATTACCTTCCCCATATTTGTTACGGGCCTGTATGCAGAGATGAAAATTAAATTAAAGCCCTGATGGCCCTGACCTACATTCCCTACTCATCTGCTATGGCCTGCGGTCAGGCTGTGTACCAGTGGACCCCTGAAAGCCTGTTGCTCACTGACTTTGCACCAGCCTTCGTCTTGAACTAAAATAGGTCATATGCTGAGTGAGGCTGTCCTTTTCATCATCACAAACATTCATAAAGCTGAAACATTATCCTAGCTGTCACAAATCATGTCTGTGTGGTCTGTCTTCAAGCTGCCAGCAATACTTGAGACCAGAGTCCTGTTATTTTTATTTTCATGGAGACTGTCTTGGCTGGAAGAGGCCAGCTTACTTGCTTGCTAGGATAGTGGAAGGATTGCATTCCTGAGGCCATTGATGTGTCAGCCCATCATGCCCTCTGCAAAAAGAAGGAAGTAAAGAATGTGTTGGGAGAGGACACAGCAGTTCTCTAAAACTTTTTGTCTCTGCAGGATTGGGGTTCTTACTGAGCTCCTAAGTATATTGGGTCTTTTTTATATACAGAATTATACACTTCCTCTTCAGTCAAAAATCTTAAAATTCCCCCAGCAGAAAAATATTATTATACCGATTCAAAAAATTTCCCTGTATTTAATATAATTGCTTTTCATAAAAGTTTGTTTCTCCAGTTGAGTTCCCAAATAATTATATAAGAGATCTGAAAGGTTTATAAGAATTTTTGATTTTGTGCTCATTTTGATGATAACCTGAAAACATTTTTAAACCAGTTTTAAATACAAACTCTTGTAGCAGTAATTTGCAACTTAAAAACCTTTACACTGATCAAGACTTTAATTGCTTAAGTTTTAAACTGTGAAAATTAAAAAGTAGTTTCAGGGGCTGAGAGAATTGTTTTTCTTTTAAAATAGATCTTTCCAGTGTTCCTTTGAAATAGATGACTTTACCCTCATCTATAAACCTGTATAAGGGTAAATAATGTCTGGGTAAATCAGTATTTTTAAAAATTATGAAATCTAAGGTGTTCAGGCAAGTTACATTTATCTTTCTTAATGAATGGTCAGTTCTGGCATAATACTTATTTAAATTTCAAAGTTTGCTGGAACTAACATTATTGCTTTTCCTTAATGGGGAACTGTATGACTGGGTCATATGTGGCTATGTGGAACAGGGACCTTACCTGGTTGGTCTGGGCCTGTGTGTTGATCTGAAAGATTAGCGCTAAAAGCACTGGTAGTGCTTGGGGCCTAAGGACACTATTTTGTAAGCTGACTTCATTTAGGGGACATCTTGCACACTCCCAAGGTCTGCGCGCCCCCTGCTGGTATTTGGATTCGTGACCTCACCAAGGGCATGTGAGAAACATCTAGGTTCCTCTTCATGGAAAAGACTACCAACTCTGCAGATTATACTTAAGAGGGATCTTTAGTTTCAGTTTTAACCTTTACACTAGTTTGAGATTTTACTGAGAGGAGATGTATTTTTAACTTTCCGTGTGCCTTTAGCAGCATTTCTGCTCTAATAACCTGCCCTCACCACGGTAACCTCAACTACAGGGAAGTCATGTGGCATCCCAAATGCCTGAGTTTTACTGCCAAGGCTGTAACCTCTTCATTTTCTCTGTTCTCATTTTCCTCTTTGTTGGTCTGTGGTATCCTCCCACCCCCACTACCCCCACAAACTGCCAGTGTGTGCCCTAAGTTGACCAAAGAGCAAAAACTAAGCCTCATGCCCGAGGAGATTGTGTTCCAGAGTTCAACATAATTATGAGTTAATCCAAAATCTGTTGTCAACTTGTTCTTTTCTCTTTTCCTCAAAAATGAATGATTAAGGTTTAACACAAATTTTTTTAAAACACAAACACAAATAGATTTGTAAGTCTAAGGTTTAAATAATTCAATAAAAGCTTTAGGGCTTCAGACTTACTGGACTGGATTGATCTGCATTAAATTTTGAATTAGGAAAAAGTTAATCTAATTTAATTTTCAAAAGCAGTCAGTCCCTAGATTAGGCCATTATTAATTTATGGAGATCTTTGGAAGATATATTTTAATAGATAGATAGAAAGCACTGGGAATAATACAACTACAAATTACAAGTAAACCAACATTACCTCAATAAAAAAATTTTAAATAGCTGTATTAATAATTAAAATATGTAGGTACCTGGAAGGTATATGAGCATGCTTAATTATGATTTAATCGTTTTTGACATTTCTATGCCTTATTAGTTTGCATAGGCAATACAAAATGAACTTTAACATTTGATAGTTTTTTCAAATTCTGCTTAGTTAAAACCCTTACTAAAAACACTGTATTTCCTGTCATTAAAATACTTGCCTAACCAATTTGTGTTTAAATCAGATATGAATTGATTGTAATTAGGGAAGTGTTCCTAATTACAATTTTTTACTTTCCTTATTTACTCTGTGTTTATTATGTACAAGTAATACATGTTAAAGTGTTGCATTGAGTAATACCATTGAAAACTTCAACTACTATGTTTCTCAAGAAGTCCTGTGTTTTAATGAGTTGGCATAAATTAATGATTTTGAGATTTTTTTTTGTTTTGTTTTGTATTTTTGTATAGTATTTCAATACAATACTTGAATGTTACTATATTTCTAAATTTAAAAAAATTAGAACCACTTTTCAGTGCTAATAGATTCAGGAAAGGAAGCTAACATTAATCATACCCCTCCTCCTCTCCTCAACCAAACTTTGCTTATTAAAAATGAGAAAACAAGTTGTATGGTGTGTTAGGCATAAAGGAAGAATAAAAATGCTCATTCCTTTCTCCCCATGTTTTAATTTTGTAAAAAACACATAATTATGGGAAATAAAAATTGGTTTTATCATTGGTTCACTTCTGAAAAAAGCCTATAGGTTTGGCTCTTATTAAGGTCAGTGTTAAGCAACTGGTCTGGCCCTTTTCTCTCACTGCTACTTTCTGTCTCTTTGACTTTTACTACTGTAGGTACTGCAAAGTACTTCATATAAGTGAAAACATATAGTAATTGTCTTTTTGTGACTTAGTTAATATCTAATATATGCTGATACATTATTATATATTATGCGCTTGCTAGTACATACTAATATAGCTAATGTGCAAACAATACTTGGGGGGGAGGTCTCAGAAGCATTTCAAGCTTATTAACATGAACACTTGATCCTCCCGCCTGAAAAAAAAAAAATCTATTTGCTTTTCTCCAGTTTTTCTGCTCAAGCAGAAACCTAGAGCCATTTTTATTATCTCTTTCTTTACCACTTAACCAAACCAATTGTAAGTCCTGAACTTTCTGCTCCCAAAATTGTTTTTCTTTTTTAATAGTTTCATCTCTGCTATTTATTTCTTCATATATCGTTCTTCCTTTTTGTACAATGAATGCTTTCTTTCTTTCAGGTGTAGTCCCCGCAAAATTCCCATCACCAATTCACCCTTGCACCATCACCATAGTCCCTTGTATAAGAACAGATTCCCTCCCCTGTTTTGATTTCCATCTTTGCTGTCAACTTTGTAGCCCAAATAACCTTCAATCTTGACAGGTCTCCCGATTCTCACTCTTACCTCTGTCCTATTCATTCTGAATAAAATAGTCTTCCCAAGGGTCATTCTGTCTCTCACTGCTTAAAAATTGTTTAAAGAATCATGTCTACACTCCCCACCTTGACACTGATCCTTTATAGTCTGGCCCCAGTCAGCCTCTCCAGACTCATCTTTTTTGATCTATTTATACCGTATGCTTTACCCACACTTGTAATGCCCCAGATATGTTTTGGCACATGTTGCCTCTGCCTTGCGCATCCTCCTCTCCTCAGACCATATAATAACCTCCCTCCCTTCCCCTTACTAGTTTCATCTGGCAGAAGCTTACTTACCCTTCAGAGTTCAACTCGGGACTCAATTTTCAATGAATCCTGTCCAAACCTGGAGTTTGTGGTATAAGCAAAAATGCATTCAGCTCAAACAGAAAACCTAACCCACAGTATTTTAAAAGACAAAGAATATGTTTTTTTTCCACCCTATGAAATCCAAAGACAGGCAGTCAAACGTCCTCAAAGATCTCTACTTATCTTTCCACTCTCTACTTTTAGAATGGTTTCTTAGCACCTCTTGGTGACAAGGTAGCTGTAATAGTTTTGGACATTGTCCATATTCAAAGGAAAAAAGGAGAGTTTTCAATAAAGGGTGGAGTGTCTGAATCTTTTATTAGAGAAGTGAAATTTTCCCTTCTCTCTAGCCAAAAATGGTTGACATGGCCAATCCCTGGCTGCAAGACAGACTGGGAAATCAGGAAACAGGATTGTCATGACTGACATAGACTGTTTTTGCCCAAACCATTCCAGTAGAATGGAAAAGCAGGTAGGGGGATTGGAAAAGCATCTGACTCTGCCTGTGTTTGTCCCCATAGTAGCGGCATCATACTGAAGCATCTCTCATTAGATTGAAAATTCCATGTGGGCAGGGAAATTACCTTGTTCTGCTTTGTATCCCCCCTGGATGCCTAACACAGTAGTTGCTCACTAAATAGCAATTGTACAAAACAATAAATTAATGCATATGCATATTTAACACATGTATTGGGAATGAACTTATTAAAGTCTATTTTATAGCATTTTATAACCCTGTTAATGGCTTAGTGATATGGGTCTATTATCTCAACAAAGTCCTTGAATTTAGACCAAGTTGTCAGTCAGGATGCACTTTCCTGTAGAGAGTGTCATTTCAGGAGTCAGCCCAAGCTGACAGCATAAAATTCTCATAGAACTGATAGTGCCCTTTAAGCTGGAGCCTCCATAGGAGGAACTGAACAGGACCTCCTAAATTAGTTCCTCTGTCTTTCTGGACACCCACTTAGACTTGCCAAAGAGACTGTATGAGAAGGCCTGGAATCAGTCTCATGGAAGCAGGCAATGTAAGCACTCATTCTGATCCCTTTGTGCCACCTTCCATTAGATGTGATAAAATCCAATGGCAGAACTTTTCCACTTAGACTCATCCTGTCTCTCCCTAGACATTATATTCCT